ATACAGTAGGTTTGCCCCACAGAAACTTACTTATGATTTAACACCGACTTTGCACCAGCAAACCCGGTTTTGTTTCCTCAAGGTGATGTTAACAGTTCCCTTGTTTGCTGCTGATGGGTCCCTCGGGAAGAAAAATGTGGAAAGCCAGCTGTATTAAGGAGTAGCATTCGAGCCCTGAAATGAATTTTCAACCTGGCTGTCACAAAACGTCTTTGGAAGGGACCAAACGCATCTAACAAAGTGCCCGCAAAACCTCTCTGGGGAGGATTTTGCCAGCCAAGGCAGCACCGTGCTCTTCTCCTATACCTCTTGCACGGTAGACACCTCACAACAGGGGAGTGTCCCAGCGGGGAGGGGGGCAGATGACGGGAGCGACTTCCCGACTGAAACACGGCGGGTTGTGGCGGCAGGCCCTGACAAGATTCACCCAAATGGCGGCTCCCTCTAAGGCGCCAGCGGCCCTCCGCGGCCCACCGCCTCCTGGCGGTCCTGCCCGCCCTCCGCCGGGCCCAGCCCTTCCACTCACTCCTCTAAGAAGTCCTGGAACAACTTCTGGCACTTCTCGGCCACCTCATCCCGAAGCTGCTGTTGGTGCTGCGCCGCGCCCGCATTACCCAGTACCAGATCCATCCCGACCGCTGCTCCGACTCCAGCCCGGCCCCACAGCGGTTCGCGCCACAGCGCACCCCACGTGCGCCTCTGTGCCAGCCAATGGGCGAGCGCCGTCCCGCAGAGCCCCGCCCCGACGCCCTAGCTCCACCTTGTCTCACGGGCCTTTTCGCGCCAAAAGCGCGGGGTGTGCTGCAGTTGGGGTTAGTTCCGGGACCGGGTTGGAGATGGATCGCTGCCCGTGGGGGCTAAGGCTCAGCGGGTAGGTGCCGGCAGGAAGCGTCGGGTGGCCTAGGAGCCAAGCCCCGACCATCAGCACTCTGATCCCGGCCGGGTCTTTGTCTCTCGCTACTTGCTGGAGGGGTTGATCAGCTTTGTCTTGTAAACTCGTCGGTGCTGTGGAGGACTTTAACCTCCACAGGCAGAAGAACGTGTCCCGTAAACATGTAGGTGTCTACTGTGGTGGTCTCAGGGTAGTCTTTAGCTGCAGTGAACTTGAGCAGGCTGCTAGTTTCCTGGAGAAGCAGGTCAGCTACAATAACGGTAACAGCTGCTGGCACAGCCAGCACTCTCTTGAGGAGGCTCAGAGCCATGAAGCCCGTAAATTGCGTGGTGGAAGTGCCTTGGGCAGCGTCTTGCTGACAAAGACCCTCTGGGTAGGCTGCACCTCCGGTTTTTAAAGGACCAGCCTCAGGTGAGCATGGCACAAATTAAGCCAGGTGAGGGTCAGGCTCGAGTTTGGACAGTTGGCTCCTTGTTTGTAACAGGCTCATGAGCAGGATGGCATAAGGTAGCATATGCCAAGCGGTGTCATGGCTGACAGCCATTACCGAATGGCAGCTGGTGGCACATGATCGCCTGCCAGCAGGAACCGTTTCAGTATCTGAAAAATTACTTACCACTGCTCTGCCACCTGCAAAGTCATTAATCTCTGCCTAACTGGGAACTTTGCTGTAATTACTGCAGCTAAGGGCTGACTCTCAGTTCTGAAAGGTTTTAAAAAGCCCTAGCTGCACAAGCTTCCTGCAGTACCGTTATTCATATTGCAGTGCACTTGCCATTTAGTGAACAGAGACTTCTAACTGCACAATGGAAAAGCTGTCTGGCAATTTGGGGTTTATGGGGTGTAGCAAGATTCAGCTCTGCATGGTTCACTCACTTCTCATTGCGGAGGTTAGAGTAAAGTTTCTGGCTGGATTAATCTTTTTTTTTTGTTTGTTTTAAAGCTGGTATTTTAATGCAGACTGTTGGGCTTTAGTGCATTATTACAGCTTTTGGAGGTTTTTGGTTGGTTGTTTTTTTTGTTTCAAGATAGCTATGAGTTAAAAAGTTAGCAAAGTAGAAGAAAAACTGTGCAACTGGTTAGTTTATCCTATGCTTGCATGCTCTTTTAAATCCAAAGAAAATAATAGTTGAACTTGATCATTGTTAAAAGTTGCAGTGAATGAATTCCATATAGAAAACGCATGCAAATGAAACACAACAAATAGTGAATAATTAAAATGTGTTTGGACAAGCTGTGTACTCTAGGGATGGCTGTCAAAGAAAACATGCTGGTTTTCCAGGCTCTTTTTGGCACATAGGAACATGCTCAAAGGGGACCCATGGCAGATGCAGGGTGCATGGGGTGGAAGCTAGCACTGGACTCCTGTGGCCTGAATGAAATTGTGCCACTCCATGAGACATGCTGGAAACCCAGTATGCACTGGAGTCCAAGGCAGCCAAGTGGTGTGCCACAATGGATGTTGCTAATGCATTCTCCTCCCTCCCTTTGGCAGCAGAGTGCAGGCCACAATTTGCTTTTACCTGGAGGGGTGTCCAACACACCTGGAATTGACTGGCCTGGGGTGGAAGCACAAGGTTTTCTGCTTTTACAATTCTTTTCTCTTCCCCTGGCCCATTGGGCAGGGAGCAAGCAGCTGTGGTACTGAGCTGCCCATCAAGGTTAACCCCCAGGAGCTGTGTGCCAGCTGGAGCCAGTCCTGCACTTTGCTGCCAGGAGAACAGCCTGAGTCCTCCTTCTTCCTGCTGGGCAGATTCAGACAGCTCAGTGAACACAGACAGGTTTCCACAGGAAAATGTAGTTAAACTTTAGAAGCAGACTGAAGCTTTGTGCTTGTTTTGAGAAGATGACTCCTTTTCCAATATCCTTTATACTTCCTTAGTTTAAAAAAATTACACAAGTGTAATTACCACTGTAGATCATGAAAGAGATAAAAATCAAAACGTTTTAAGTGGTGGAGAAGCAGCAGCAATGTGGACTCCATGTAAAATGCTTAACTTCCTGCACCTTACTGGAAACACATGACTATACAGGTTTGATTTTTTCCAGAACTACCAAACTAGAGTTGCCACCTATGGAAGCAACATGAAGTTCTGAAATCACTATTTGCAAGATTTCAAAAAGAGTTCTAACAATGTGCAGCTCCCACTAAAGTATCCCATTAAGATTACGTTGAGGACAAATGCATTTTGATTTATTATCATAATTATTTTCAGTTAGCTAAGAAAAACTGCATGAAAAGATTCTGCATGCAGAGGAATTAGGGCCTCCATCTGAATTCTCGTTCTTGTGCAGCCAAAGTGAATAAATCAAGCTACAACATGAGCTCAAATAACTCTTGCATGGGGGATAAGCAGTTGTTACAGGAACGTACGCACAAAACTTGTTGCCAAATGTAGAGCAAGAAATAGGTCTTTTTCTTGGCATGAAATGTAAGTCAGTAGTTTTGCTCCTTATTAGAAGGATGCACTTCCGATGCGGGATACACTGCTGGGTCCATATGAATAAAGGTAATTAAATTAATTCCAGTTGGCTTGGCTGAATAAAACAACTGTTTTGAAACTTGGATTCATCACCAAGTTGTCTGTGGTGATAAGACATGTTTGTAATCCACTTAACTTTGTAAAGTACATCTGGGTACACTGTAAGATTTTAAAGTTAATAATTTGGGGAATATTCCCTGGTAAATTAATTACATCAGACTCATAAGCAGAGCTGCAAAGTATTTTATTCTTTGAGTTGTGTGACTTCTAAAGTTTAAGTTTAACTTTGACATTTCCATTACTTTACCTAACTGACCTTTAGTATGATTGTTTTCTAATGGAGAACTCTTGTCACAAAACATTAAAATTAAGTCTTGTTCAGCGGCAGCTGCAAAAGGTGATTTGCCCTTTTGTGAAATTCTACACAATTTATACACAGCCTCACTGACCTTTTTGTAGCATAACCAGTATGTGACTTCTCTGACATTTAAAAATCAAGGTAGCAACAATAACATAGACTTTCTAAACCATACCTCCTACTGAAACTTTTATCATGTAACACATTAAGCAAGAATTAGGTTGGGAATTACAAATATGTATGAATATCAGAGTAACTCCATTGCAGTGCCCAACTAAGCAACTTAATCCTTTGTTCTTTGGCAGCCACACCTACAAAAACGTTTTAAATTCGAAAAACAACTATCAGATGAGGTCTATAAAAGGAATGTTCAGACACTGGTTCCTCTCCAAATGTGGGGCACATACATCTGGTTGGGAGGAAGAGAAGTAGCTTTGCACATCACTGCAAATTGAGGATGTTCAAGTAAGTGGTTCACTTGAGAAAAAAGATGTCCAGAAAGAATTTTAGAAGTACTCTTGACTTCCAGAAACACTCAGTTCTCTAGATGTACAACTGGGCTGTTCACAGCACTTACAAGTGAAAAAAACAAACTCTGAAATAGGTTGGCTTACATTATTTGCTTTTCTTTCATTGGCAATAGATACATTAAATCCTTGATGATTTCTTTTGTCTGTTACCCTAGAGGCTGACCTGCTCTCAAACTTACCGTTCAGTTATTTTCTGAGAGTATTACATATCCTTGTGTATTCTAGGAGTGTGTGTAACCTTCTGTCCATTCTCAAATAGTAACATAAAGAACAGGCCTAAAAAAAAAACAAAACCCAAACTCACTCTTGATCAACTGATTATTATCTTGTGAGGATACAGAGCAAAAGCCATGCAGACAGACACTGCATCTAATTTACTTTGAGAGATTTATTGCAATTGATTTTCACAATTTCATGAGTATTTTTTGTAAGACTGTTCCTTTTCTCACCTGCTTCTCTGGGTAACACTCATGTAAATTAACAACTGGCTGCCTTCCTCCTGATTTAGAAATTTACTTCAGAATTTTCAATTTTGCTGACATAAGTTAAAACAGCAGAATTTTTATTGCATAATTTATTAAAATGTAGAAACATGATACAATTTAATGTGACACCAGAAAACTAACTCAGTGCATCACATTTTCATTAAAAATATGCAGAGTTTCCAATACAAAGTCCTGATCTGTTAAAATCCTGTCTTTAAAAAAAAAAATATTGTGGCACTTTAGGAAATGAGATTTAATTATTTTTTTTAAATTGGATAGTACAATGCTCAAATCAAATGCTCAAATCAATGCACAGTTTCCAATACAAAAAGTCCTGATCTGTTCGAATAGTATCTTTTAAATAAAGAGGTAAGGATAAAAAAAGAATAGTGTAGCACTTCAGGAAATGAGATATTTTTTTTTTTCTTTATTGTGTATTACAATACTCAAATCAGTACAGGTTCATTAGTAGCAGCGGAAATACTTTCAATTGTATTGTATCTGCAGGGCAAATCATCTCAAACTTTCAAAAGCAGCTCATGTTACGGTGTCAGTCGTTTGGGATCCCGTGGAAACATGGAGGTCTGGCGAACATTATGCAGCCCTAGGTACAGCATAGTTACTCTTTCCAGCCCTACAAAAAAATGAAAAAACCCCATCAGCATAGTCACTCGTTTGTTTGAAACTCTTAAAAAGCTAACGGTATTGGGACCAGATGAAGTCCCTTCCAACCTGGTACTCAATACCTACAGTCAGCCTCACACAGTAGCGTGACCAAATACTGGCATGTGTGCATCAGCATCTCTGACTACAGAAAGTAGAAACAAAGCCAGGCATTTTACATACCATGATGCAGACTTCATTTGGAAAGTGTATCAATAAGCAATGGTCAACCCTGAATCACTTTGGACTTTTAAGAAAGACGGTACAGAATACTGAAATGGGAGGTGGGTAACTGAGAGAACCATATGCTGAATACAGCAGCATAGCCCAAACCAGTCTTAACAGCTTCAGAGTAAGAGACATTAAGTGCCATAAGCAACAACAGAAAAAAACCTACAGTTGGGGAAGCTTATTCCAAACTCTCTACAGTAAAAAATGTAGATTTAGCAATACGTATCTGTGTAACTATCTGCTGATATCACAGTATCACAGTATGTTAGAGATTGGAAGGGACCTCAAAAGATCATCTAGTCCAATCCCCCTGCCGGAGCAGGAACACCTAGATAAGGTTACACAGGAACGTGTCCAGGCAGGTTTTGAATGTCTCCAAAGAAGGAGACTCCACAGCCTCCCTGGCCAGCCTGTTCCAGTGTTCTGTCACCCTCACTGAGAAGAAGTTTCTTCTCAAGTTTAAGTGGAACCTCTTGTGTTCCAGTTTGTACCCATTGCCCCTTGTCCTATCATTGTTTGCCACTGAGAAGAGCCTGGCTCCATCCTCATGACACTCCCCCTTTATATATTTATATACACTATCTTTTATAATAATAAATATTTCACTAGTGATTGTCTTCTTCCTTCCTGAAATCTTAGAAGTTATTATGTATGTACTGAGGAACATGGAAAAACTCCCTAATCTGTGGGGCTGCATATACATCCTAGCCATGCTATGATGATCCCCATATGCACACTGGTTTTCACACAGTGCCCTCCCATATTAAGGTTTCCATTTGAAACAGTTAGAAATCAGCCTTAATTCTCTCAGCATCTCCTGTTTGGCTGGTACTTGGATTGACCTCTGAGATGTGCCATGTGGAGCGTTTACTGTGCAGAAGAGATGTCGCTTCAGCTTCCTTGATGTTAGTTCTTCCTGGCCTAAATGATTTTGGATCATCTGCAAATCCTGAATCTCCTCTGCCTCCCAAGTACTGCATAATCATAGATGTAGGTAGATAGAGATCATCTTGTACGTATTTCAAAACAGTTGTCTCAATAACATATCATAGATGTAATGCATTTACTGAAGGCAAACTTAGTTGTTCTGAGAACATGCTCAGAATGTACTAAATATACTTTACAAAAATAAGGCAAATGCAGAAAGACTGAATCAAATAAATAATTGTGTTCATTGATGAGGACCTACAAAATGTCCTATTTCCACATGCATGAACAGTTTCATCCTGCTAATGGAAGCAATGTACATAACTGTAAATTGTTATAATTAAGATGCCTAAATGCTATCTTTTTTCATTTTAGTATGCAAAATACAGCCAAGACCTGAAGCCTCAGTACCTTTGCTAAAACCATCAGCATGAGCCAAACTGATTGTTGATATTCAGTCAAATCGCTGAAGATGACAAGCAATCAATTGCTTCTCCTCACTACGTAACAGCTTCATCAAATGCACTAAGAGACCAGTGGCAATGATAAATCCATACATAATGCGGTATTTTCTTGCTTCCTTAAATTCTCCTCATTGGTCAAATTTGAAAGTGATGTGCCTGGCTAATAAATGAACACTTTTTCTTGTGATCACCTGCTTTTTAAACTTGCCAGATGATGCCATTATGAGTTTAAATTCTCCATCATGAACAGCCCCATGCATTTGCCTAATAAGGCTACTATTCTCATTTTATAAAAATGAATAATAAGAAGAAAATAAATAATAAAATAATGAAATAAGTAATAAAATAAATAATCAAATAGAAATAAATAGTAAATTAAATAATAAAAATTTAAATACATACACTTACCTATTCCACCACCTGCATGTGGAGGTGCACCAAAACGAAAGGAATCAATATAAGCCTTTATTTTCTCCAAATCTAGAGAGGAAAAAGACATGTTTCTCACCTGCTTAATGAACACCAAGCCAAACATACAAGTGACTACAGAACTGCAAACACAACAAAAAATTTACCAGTTAACGTACAAACTAACAGTGTGGTTTTACTTATCAAACATGTAAATTATCCAGGACTATTTAGAAATTATAACAGTTTTGATTTTATAATGTTGTTAATAACTCAGGGAAGAAATTCTAGAACTGAGTAAGAGCTAGGCCCAACTGTTCATGTGACTTACAGAAAATGGTGATTTCTTGAATAAGCTGCAGTAAGAAAGTAAAGATTTAGCAACTATTTTTCCATCTTGGTACAGCGGGAGCTACTCATTTTTTGCCATTCACTGGAAGCATAATTTTAACCTACATTTTACTCTTGTGATCACCTGATTTACTCTTACCCTTCTACTATTAGCTGGCCTTGTCCTTGCCAAGATTTTATTTATTTTTTTTTATTTCACCAAGGGACACTTGCTTATTTGCTATCAGTTCAGTAGAGAGAGGCATGACCGAAGGAAGACTTGTTTGTCTACCCTCATTCTGTTGAATTTATTTCCTGTATTACACTTTCTGTAAAGTCCTTGGAAACAATTCCTTTTCATCAAAGTGTTGGTTGGAAACTAACCATTTTCTTAATAGCTCCACTCTAGATTAAAATGGTGAAACAGAATTAGATGCATTAAGAATGAAACAGCATGATGAATTTAGGACTACCACCTTGTAACAAATTCTCCCCCAAATCCTTCCTTTAAAGGAAACAAATCCGATCATGATTTATACTCTTTTAAATTCAGCTTCATGTTGTTTACCAATGCCATGATGCTGGGCTCTTTCTGTCAGCAGCTGAGGATCGTGAATTCTCTGTGCTCCAGACAAGATCTCTTCCCCTCTCATGAACATATCATAAGAGTTAGAGTTTTTCTGGAAAAGCAAAGATGAGTTTATTTCCCATGTACAGTTGCTCCATCCTTACGTGACAAATGTGCACCTCTCAATAACTTCACTTATCTGAAGTTAAGTATGCAAAGTTGTGCAGTAAGACTGCAATGTATCTGGAGTCTGGTCAGGAATTACATCCCTTTTGCTCCTCTGGTTAAACTAGAGCTGATTTTAAAAAGTGAAGTTCATGCACATGCCCTCTGAAAAAATATTACATTTGCATGTAGTTATCCCAGCAAAAGATGCTCTAAAGATATTTACCCTGGATTTAGGAATGAACTGGGGAATTCCTAACAATTTTAAAAAAGTGTATTTTCTGTTAAAGTGTCTGTTACCATAGAAGAATGTTTCTGCCTCTTTTCAGTGATGGCAGCAGTGTTCTGACCATGGAGATCTCTCCATAAAGCTCTCCTAGCTTTAGCTAATTTGTTTCTTTCCAGTATGTTTTCACCAGTGAAGAGTAACTATAAATATTTTACGTGTCATGTAACACTGATCTAATCTTGTTATCAGAATTTTAATTATAACAGTGGATCACAGAAATATATTTAATTTCATCATTTATTTAATTTCATCAATTATTCATGCAGAATAATTTAAACTGAAAAACCCCCCACTAACAACAAATAATGTTACTTACAGGATTTACTGGGTCTGGCATTGTATAAAAAGGCCTCACAGCAAGAGGATATTTGTCAAGAATATAGAAGTCCGTGTCATACTGAAAGAATGTAATTTAAACAGTTAGTACAAGAGAAAATGATGTAAAGAACAAATTAAAAGAGGAAGACATAACCAGTGTTGTGAATCTTTGTAATAGAACAAAAAAGATCTTTCAATATCTTTCCACAAATTTAACACTATTATCTTAAAAAGATAATACTTATCAATAGAAGTCATGTATTATTTTTCAGATTTCCAGTATTACCTGTGTAGATTTACAAATGTTTAGCAGTAAAATGTTTTTCTGTAGTAACAGGTACTTACTCATCTCCTATAAATTTACTTAGAATATGGTTTGCTTGGTTGGTTGGTTTTAATTATGTTGAGATCTGGGTTTGGAACGTACTATCCTGTTTGGTGTACTCAGTATAAAAGATGATAGAAATAAATATAAAAGATTGAAAATAGTTTGAAACAGCTTATTTTGTTTAAGACAAAACTCTCTGTAGATGAAATAAGCAGCAACAAAATGGGAATGAGTCAACAATTAAAAAATGTTTATGCTAATCACAAACTCTTCACAACTTCTACATGTTTTGAGATACTGTATTCTGGATCAGTGTGTAAAGAGCTGTTTTACATGACATAGGCATTTATCCCAACACAGTGACTCCATGCCGTCAGGTTTCACATTAAATCACAAATTTATTTATTCTAAAATAATTGTTACCTTTTCCTTTACCAGGCGTCCCAGGAGCTTTTCATTCGGTGTGCTGAAAAAGATTTACCACCATTAAGTGATTTAAACTTGGGCTGATTATATGCTCCACAAAGCTAAAAAGATTTCAAGATACAGATTTTATGCACCCTACCCTTTAGAAAATCTAGCACTTGTTTCTGAATGCTTTGGATTGTGCAAATTTCAGAAATAAAGGATATTTATTTTGTTCCAAAATATTCTGTATTAGTCCTAGAAAACCCTTAAATTAACTGATATCTAAAGATATTCCTGGCATACACCTTGTGCAGCCATTTCTTCTTAGGCACAATTAATTGAGGAATACCATAAGCAGTTGCTAAAGAAATTATTTTTCTCTATCAAACTCTTATGATTGAAACTTCTTCAACATGCAGGTCATTTAACTGTAAAATCATACATTATCCTAATGGTACTGGATATATTACAGGGAAGAACAGAAACCTTTTATTAAGTGTCTTTTTAAAAGTTTGTATATAATCAGTTAGTTAAACCCATCTTCTGGTAAACTAATGGGAATGCAATCATACGTGCTTAAATCTTTTTCCTAAGAGGTGGAAAGAAGTGGGAATGTGTCACTGACAAGAAAGACCTTAAGACTGAAGAATCATTTTGTTCAAAGACGTGACAATTCACACAAAGGACCACAGTTGTTAGAAAAACAAGTGCTTCTTATCCTTAGAAGGTCAAGTTACTCTCACTTTATGCTTTAAGTTACTTTATTTTAGATTTCAGAGTTTGTACATACAGTCTACATTAAAAAGAAGGTCTATTTTCATATCCTTTTCATTTATTTGTCAAGAGAGTTGGATACAAGTACTTTTTATTCCTTTATAAGCTAGTGGTTCCTTCTTGAGGGCTGTCACTTGAACCGTACCAAACTGACACTTTCACAAGACTGACACATTTGTGTACTGCCAAAGTACCTCAGATCTTCTTCATCACCCATCTCAATACCAGCCTCCCTAAGCATGGCCACAGCTTCACGGTATTCCAGCCTCAGAGTTGGCTCCAAAAACTTAAATGGCTCACAGGGGAACTGTTTGTTCACAGTCTGAATTTCAGTTTGGAATCTGTATACAAGGAAACAAGAACAGAAGCAAAATACAAAACAGTCAAGAAGTGTACTCTCCTTGCATCCAATAATAATTTTGCAATGGCAATACAATCTTGCCACAAGAGGTCCCTCTTGCAACATAAAAAACTTTTAAAGTCACTTCTGGAGAAACTGAACAATCCTAATGAAATGCTTCATGTAAATTTATGCATCTATTGCAATCATATACACATTAATATTTTACTACTACTTCTGTTTTATACCTTTTGTAAGAAATAAATGACTAGGTCAAATTTTTCCAGTAAAGAAAAGTCCTCTTTTAAGTAATATCCTGTTTTAAATATAAGAAAACTCCTTCTGCACAGATGAAAAGATATGCACTTCTGCTTGCAAGATAGGCTAATTTGTAAGCAAATGAAAACCGCCTCCTAAACTTCTGACCTGAGTTTTCAATGAGTTAGACTGTGGATTTACTGTGAATAATGGAAAATAAACTTTGCTGCTTTCATGGAAGAGATGCAAGCTGTTATAATAAATTTAAATCAGAAAAACTTTCTTAGACAGCAAATATTAATTTAAAAATCTAAAAATCAGTTTACCTGTAGTGGCACAAAAAGAAGGATGTTTTAAATTAATGATGGATCATTTCTATTAGGAAGTCCATCAACAGTGAACAAGTTTTCTAAGTGCAAGTCAGCATATTCTAGGAGATGCAGCTTGGGCTAAAAATAGTTTACTGCCCTATGGCTTGAGTGAACTTTAAGTCAGGCACAAACAATTAGTTAAGAGTAAAGCAAAAATGTTTTGAAGTTCTGTTGTAAATCAGGTTACTACTGATTACATGACAAGCTTAGAATAAAACACTCACCCGTTTCATACCACAATGCAAGAGATCACAAAGTTGATCATGAAATTGAAATGCTTTCATTACCTTTCCTGAAGTCCCTTGAATATCTGCACCAAGGTATCTGCAATCTCATCTACCACTTCATGATAGTGATAGTTAAAAGCCATTTCAATATCCAGACCAACAAACTCAGTCAGGTGTCTGTGTGTATTGGAGTCCTCAGCTCTAAATACTGTAAAATTAAACAATGAAAATTCTAACTGACCTGAAATTATCATTCCACATTGAAAAAAATAACACTGACAATCAATTACATCAGCATTTGGATTAGACAGACAATGCTGTCTTTAGACATGACAATTCTCACTGAAAATCAACAAGAAAACTAGCTGCCTCAGAGCACCATTTGTAACAACAGTGACAACATTATTGTAGCTGTGGTTGGTGCTCAAAGGATACAAGACAGACAAGATGGTAAAAGGCATTATCTCTTGTTAGACCAACAGACAGAAGTGGTAAAAACAGACAAGCTTTCAGGTACAAAAGGACTTTCAGATTTGAAAACTGTCTTTTTCAGAGGAAATGGACTTGTACACGTGTGTGTTCTGGTTCTGGTTTGGTTTTCCCAGACGTATGAATATAATATAAACATGTCTTCCTATAAACCATGACTCATTTGGTAGCAATTAGCAAGAAATTTAAGATCATCCAAATTACTTGCCTTTTTTTTTTCTTCTAAATAGCATAAACTGTTATTATTGATTTGTTTTCCAGCATCTCCTGCTTACATATCTTTGAACTGGTCTTTCAGGTCTTAGGAAAAATAAATAAATAATTTTAAAAGCTGTATTACCACCTAAAAAAGGCCGAGTCCTACCAGCTTTTGAGAAAGAGAAAACCTATTATTGATTTTTTTTATTATTTACTGACAGTCCAGACAAAGAATATGTTTTCTAAATAAAGTTCTTTGGAACATATACAATAGCAAGGGATAAGTATACATCAATATGCAACCTAAAGCACATAAAACCTAGCTTGCTTGTTTTAACTGCTTACTACTGGGCAACTAAAGCCAACTAGGCTACTACTGGCATGACTAATAGCGAACTATGGCTTCAGTGATCAGAGTGTTGTTCCATGTTTTACTAATTTCATCATATTATCAATTTCCAGTGCAACTCTATAGTCTTTATCCTCACAGAACCTCTTGGTTAAGAGTTCTCTGCCTTTAGTCCAGTATTTTAGTTTTGTTCCAGCAACTTCTCTATCAACTTTGCTCTTATTAGGTGCCCCAGCTGAATTTATGTTTGTAAGTGAAACTGTATTAAGTCCAACCATTTAAAGCTTTCAGCATGTGTGTTATCTTATTTGTACCACAGCTGCTAAAAGCCATCACTGCACACTTCACACTTTGGATAAACCAATGCTTTTCTTACCTGGCCCAACGCAAAACACCTTTTCAAAGTCAGCACATATACACATCTGCTTGTACAGCTGTGGAGACTGAGCCAGGTAGGCACTGCTTTTGAAGTACGATACAGTAAACACATTGGCTCCTCCTTCACTGGCAGCTGAAAAGCAAATGCTTGCAGGAATTATTAAAATAAAAACGTACAAAATGTATCTGAGGTAGACTGATTGACTACTGGTCTTACATTTAGAGATCAGAAGGAGATTTTTCCCCAAAGCATAGTACAGGAAAAAGATATACATGCATCCATTAATTCTAAGAAAGTTTTGCAGCTCAGGACTGTCACACATTGTCTTGAAAAACTGCAAATTTAGATTAAAATGTAGTAAAATATAAATGTGGTAAATGTAGTTTAAAATGTTACTTATTCCCAGCTATCCTTCATCTTAAAGTAAGAACAGCAGAGAATGCATGCTTGTATCACCACATCTACTTGCAGCCCAACATTTCTGCGGAAACCAGGGACGTAGACTTCCAGGGGTTAGCTGCAGATGCTGAGATGAAAGTGCATATCCTGTTTTGCCAGGATCATCCTCTCTAACTGAAGGCATAAATATCTCTCAGACCCAGAACTAGACTGACCAGAGGACACCTGCCAATGGTATAAAGCTTTTTCTCAGTATGAGGCAGTTTTCCTAGAAGGTTACCTTTAGAGAACAGGAACCAATACACACATTTGAATCCCTTACTGCAAACTGCCTACCCAAACTATCAGCTGAGTCACTTTATGTTTCCATTTCCCAGTGCGTGATTACAAGAGTTATAGTTGCCTAACTTGCTAACAATATCTTTGAAAGTTCTAATGTTAAGGTAACTCTAAGTACTACTAATTATTATTATTACTAACCATTCAATTGAGATTAATGCTGCTTCTCTCATTACCGCTACTCCCACTGAAATGGTTTCAGTGAGTATTTACAGCTATATTTGAATACAAGTAACTTTTAAAATATTGAATCTTAGAACAAATGTTTCTATGATATTTAAATTGGAAGTTTAGTAAGAATTACACCAACTTAACTTAGTTATTTTTACAAAACATGACCTCATACAAACAATAGGATGCTTGCCTGCCTGCTTTCAATGGTACACTGCACAGTAAGAATAGCACACTTCCTCAAAGATCCTACGTAAATAAACTACTTGGGAGTCTTTAATATTTCATGCTGTTTCAACTGTCTGCAGGAAAAAAAGTTATCTGATCTTATAGTTCAACGATACTTTCCAGATTGAAATATTGAAATGCTTACATATTTTTTTTTTAAAAGCCCTTTTTTTTTACCTCAATCAAGAGCTGTCTTCAAAAAGACAAGGTATAAAATTCAGTAGGCAAAATGTATGCATAGAATGAATGCACATACAAAAATACAAATGTTCTCCCCTACATTTTCCATGCATGTCTTAGCAACATCAACAAAACCTCAAAGAACACCAATAAGATGGGAAAAAGAACCCATCAGTAAATCAAGTAATTTAACTTTTTAAAACAAACCAGATCATCTAGAAGCAGAATCTACATTTCTAGAACTAGAACAAGAAGCAGAATCTACATTTCCAGACTTTAAGTCAGGCTAAAGCTGTTATGCCACATTTTCACAAAAATAATCTACCACCTTCTATTTGGTCATATGCTCATTGCTAAAGGGGTGACAAAAAAAGTATCATCTTTTATACCATGATATGTTTGTTGTAACTTCCTTATAATGGAAGCTACTTTTTAGAGTGGAGTGGGGTTTTTTTTTTATACTGGGTATGGAACTGGCAGCATTCAACACTGATATCACTGATTTGAAGAACAATGCATATGATCAGACATCTGCATTTAACCAAATTAAAACTTTAAATACACTGCAAGGTATATAAATCAGGTATATATATTTGTCTTTTCATTCCTTTAACATCTGAAGTCAGCAGAAAAGTAAACAACTTTGATACCTATTAGGAGAAGTTTGCTATGCTGCATCTAAATTAGAAATAGAATTTTATGGTTTTTACACAAAAATTTACTAGATTTTTGACAGGTATGCTGAGCAACTCTAAAAAAAAGATGACCTGTAGCTGCTGGATCACATATACATTACCTGAAATGATTTTGGGAGTCTGAATTTCCACAAATCCCTTGCGAATAAGAGTTTCTCGGAAAAGCTGACAAATTCCAGACTGGAGGCAGAAGATTGCCTGACTGGTACAGGTCTATAAGAAGAAGATAAAATAATAAATCCTAAGTTAGTTTTTCCTGACTCTGTTAATTTTTCTGGAGAGCTAGAAAGAGGAAGAATCTCTTGTCTTAGGAACACTTGATTAATGTATTTGCCTAAACAGAAGTGCAAATAGCTAATTGTTCATTACACAAAAAGAAACAGTAAAGGAAACAAGAGAAACCCCTCATTTCAATTTATGGCATATTCAGTTATAAAGGAGACACTATGGACAGTTTTATATTTACATAATCACTTATTATATGCTTCTGCAAATAAAGGTTTTACAGTAAGAAATAGAACAAAACCACTAAACCTATTAAAAAGCTTTCAGCACACTGAACTAGAGCAGCTGCAGTAATATACAGCATCCGATAAAGGCAAAGCCATCAGTAACTTACATGAGGTAGAAATATTTGTGTCTATTAAAGGCTATAAAATGCAACATTTTGCATGTAAAAACACACCCACATGTTAACCATGTACAACACTTCCACAAAACCATCCCAGATCCAAGGTCTAAACTCTCAGCATTTAAAGCAGTCCACAAAACACCTCATCATGTGAACTGCAGTTCTGTCTTTTCAGAATTTACTCCCGAAGTACATTTAGCTGGGAAAAAAAAACAGGTAGATTTAGCTGAATTGATCATCACCTTTTTGTTTATGTATATGACACACTTAAGCTACTTATCTCATTAGTATATACCTACACTGAATGTTCCTGTAATGTTCTTGGGCTTTAGTGTGAAGAAAAAAAAAAAGCCCTTAGTGAATGCTGAAAACACTGCAACATGTCAACACTGAACCCGTATCTGATTTTGTACTTGCAGCATTTAAGACCTGACAGTTAGCAACCTAGAAGTTTATATAAAACCTACCGAATTCTTGCAAACAACTAAGAGCAGCTCTTTACGACAATCTGCGTCATAGCACTGTTTACTTCTCCTTTCTGAAAGGTACCTGACTTTTCAGTTAGCGTAAGAAGAGCCTTGTGGGCTTTTTCACATGACTCCTACAAAACCACAAAACAAAAAACCCCCAACCAAAACAAATTATATAAGCATCCAAATTTAGACAGCCAGTCAGTAGGTATGTTGAAATAAAGCTACATCCGTTGTCTCTGCAAGATAAAGACAGTGCTTCACTGAAAAACCAAAAGAGAAAACTGTAATAATGCTGCAGATCTGCAGTAATTTGGAGGTATTTGCACTTTTAGCTGACTGATAAAATATCTCAGGAGGATAAGTGGTTCAGACTAGTAAATAACAGCTAGCAGCTCTCACTGTCTGATAGCATTAACCACAGCCTCTACTCCCACTACTTTCAAAATGAAGGCAATGCGGTTTTGAGCAGCAGTTACAAAAGTACCCTCAAACTTTGTCACCTTTTCTACATGGTTCTCCCAGAATCCCACATATGCTAAGACTTTGCCTGAGTTCTGAGCATAATTTGCTAGTATTACATGGAAGCACTGCGATGATTCAAAGGGTTATTTGGGTTATTTGGTTATTTTTATTCTTTTTTAACCATCTCCTACTTAGAAGATGAAAGACATTTTCCAAGAGATGACAACTTGTTCGGTTTACTAATACAGGTTTTGATAAATTAGATAAATTTCAAAAAATGCTAAGAGAGAAAATGTGTCACATTTATTTAAAGCAGGATAGTAACACTTTCTTCTCTCCCCTTCTGATGAACCAACACCAAGTTTCATGCCAGAGAAGGTTAAGAATGCAGTCCTAAATCATACAATCCTAGGGAAAAGAAAAATGGTTGCTATACCCAATCTGAAAGCAATTACTTGGTCTGACCTAAAACTGCGCACGGCCACTCAATAACAAACACAGTTCCCCACTAACAATAATTTGTCAGACAATTCCTCCTGGCTTAGTAAGAACGCAGAGCAAAGACTCTGTCTTCCTAATCCCATCTATAATGCTATATTATGCTTAAAAAATAGTATTTATGAAAGCAGACAAATTCACAGATCTGGACACTGAAGCTTTCATCTAACTATAGACTAAGTAAAGAACGAGCAGCAATTCTCCATACCTTAAACTAGACCTGACAAGACCACTCTGCTTTCTACCCAAGGTAGCCGAGTTTCACTGTCTGTTCATTCAGAGACTAACAAGGGCAACTTGAGAATTTGTGATGCTCGTGAAGGGCCTGGAGAACAAGTCTTACAAGGAACAGCTAAGAGAATTGTTCAGTCTGGAGAAAAAGAAGGCTCAGGGGGGTCCTTATCACACTCTACAACTACAGAAAGGAAGTAGTAATGAGGTGGGTGTCAATCTCTTCTCCCACATAACAAGTGATAGGACAAGAGGTAATGGCCTCAAGCTGCACCAGGGAATTTTTAGATCGGATATTAGGAAGAATTTATTCACAGAGAAGGTGACCACACATTGGAACAGGCTGCCCAGGGAAGTAGTGGAATCACCATTCCTGGAAGTGTTCAAAAAATGTGTAGATAAGGCCCTAAGTGATATGGTTTAGTGGCGGGCTTGGCACCTGGTTGGTAACCAAATCCTGGTTGGACTTGATTATCTTAAAGGTCTTTTCCAACCTAGCTGATTCTACTGCAGTCTCCTGATAAGAAACGTATCAATAAGACGTTTGAGATAAGCTCCTAAGTGAGACAAGCACTGCACAGTGTGCAGTGGAGCCAAATGCATGACCTCAGAAGTTTTATGTGCCACTACAACTTGCCAAAGATGGCACTGTATCTACACATGGAGCAAAATTTTTCAGATTTAATTAGATCCTTTGCGCTTGTATAATGTTTAGGACAAAAAGAGAGTGAATTTATCTGAAGAAAGTAATTCAAGCTGTTATCTTGTCTATCCAGAGTCTCTTTAAATGAGATGCTGGTATGTGTATTACAAAGTTTTGTACCATGGTAGGTAACACTGTTACCATGTGAGCTACCATACTTGGGTACAACACAGCAAACTGTGTTGTAAGACAGAGACAGCTGTCAAAATGAATCCATTTTTACCTTTGCTTTAAAAAGATTTTGCCATGACATTCTTTTCCTGTAGTGTTTATTCTTTTCCTGTAGTGTTTACTCTAATATAAACTCTTTCACATACATATTGACAAATCATCTCATCTGAGACTATGGCAAATATAGCAAATGTTCCTTCAAGAGTTAAGCAGAAACAGAAATAAACTTATGTCACTTAACTGAAGAATATTTTACAGGAAAACTCACTATTTCTAATAATCGCCTTTGTTGCAGACAGCAAAAAAAAAAAAGTGTAATTAACAAATCTGAAATAGGAGTTTTGGTTATAATCTCACTCCAATTTCACCCGTGTGTTTGTTATTTAAATATCACAAAGGAAAATGTTGGTAATAATAGAACAGAGTGTATTTTAACACTAAAAGCAAGAATATAAAAACAATTATCGCATTTCATTTGGCACAAGCTGCAGTGTTAGAATAATAGCCATGTAAGCTGCCAGAGACCAACAAATGTGCTCAACAGAACTGAGGATAGTTAACACCTTATGTGATCCTATCTCAAAGAGGTGAGACTGAGGCACATACGTGCAAAGTTGTGAACTTTTTACTTTTATGTCAGCTGTAGACTGTTCCACTCTCATCTCAGTTTTGCTTTTGTGCCTGCCTGCTGTTAACTAGCTATCTTCTGCCATGAATAATCACTAAATACATTAAGTAGGCTAAATAAAAAGGGATAATCATATAAGCTATATTCTTTTAAGTAATACACATTGTTTTAAATAATGTAAAAATTTTTGCAATTCCTCTACTATATATGAGAAAAGAAGGTTTTGCTAGGAAATATGATTTCTGTTAAGTAATATTTTTTTTAACCCCAAAGTGACTGAAGTAAACCTTTACTCAAATTTCAATACTACTTACAGTACGAGAAGAAGGTATGAACATGAAGTCTGTTGTCTAAATGACTGGGACTGTGTTATGCCTTCACTACCAAATCACTACCCACAATAAAATAAACTGTACATCTGCTTGTTCGTTACAGCTTGAATTCAGTCAGAAAAAACACAGCTTTTGCAATTAGTAAACTGAATTCAACACAATGAAATCAAGCTTTAAGTAATCAAGTATTTTGGAAAAAAAAAAGAAAAAAAAAAAAAAGAAAGCAAAACTGCATTAAGATCAGTGTACAGCTGGATTATCATATAACAACTAGATACAGAGTTTAATGGTTATGCTTTGCCCTGAGCAGTTTCAATAGGATAATGTTGACCCTATACAGACCATGCTTTGGTTTCAATGAGCTGTGCATTAGCAGACACAATTATAGAATCAGGACTGCATAATGTGCATAATTCAAATCAAATCTGGACTGATACTGTTAAGATAAAAACCCTACTGGACGTAAAAAAAAAGGCAGAGTAAGGAAATCAGTCAGGTCCATTGTTAAAACTGGATGAACCGGAATTGATTTTTATTTCAGATGGAGACAAACTAAGCAGCAGAGCCCAAAAACCAGTGCTTCACTTTTCATCTTCTCTTATTTTTCACTTACTACAGATCTTCATGAAACGAATACTTCAGATAAGAACAGCAGAATCACAGAAGGAAAGATCTAAAAACACAATCAGTCTTCCAATTTGCCTTTCTTAATTGTTCCAATACAGGAATGGTAAATCAAACAGCTCTAGAATCAACCAGTTTGAGTTTTATTAAGCTATCATGAAAAACAGATACGTAGGTCGTGGCTTCCTTGTGGGTCACTTGTGGTTTTTTGAAAGAAAATCTGGTCTATACAAGGACTCTTTCTTCTTACCACTCTCCTGTCTCTACACCCCTGATTTTTCTACTCCACAAGTTTGTGATCTGTATTTGATGAGTTACCCCACCAGGAACAAATTTATTCCTTCTCAGTCATCATTCTTTGGAAAGGATTTTTAAACCCCTCCACCTTAAATAATCACCGTTTTACCTCACCATCAGAATAACAACTACAGCAATAGCTTGGGATCTTGGCATTTAAGTACTTCCCATCCTTAACCTCAAAGAAAACTATCAGGCACCTCTGGGAGATCTTTGTCAGCAACAAAATGCAAGATTGTTAAAAATACAAGGCACAACTTGGTCTATTTTCACATGTACACAAGCATGAAAGTCTTGCAATCTTTGTAGAATACTCTGCGTATTAAATCTCCATTAATGCAATTTCCTTATTATTAATTGCACTCCTTTTGCATCATAATCACACTATCCTTTTTATACATCACAGCTGGATGGAGCAATGCTGTTTTCTGAAACCCAGTCCCTTTCACTGATGCAATAACTGAGTTTCACACCTCCACTTTATCATGATTTAGCCCTATCTAATTAACTCATTGTAAATACTTAAAATAGTTAAACTACTTAACTACTTTAAATACTCTATTTAAATGGCCAATAATTTAGTTCTATTCAAGGACTTCTTTTAGCCTAAGTCTAGCCAAGATCTATGCATTTAGTTTGTTAAATTTTTCTAAAACAAAAAAACAAACAAAAAAAAACCAACAAAAAAACAAAACAAAACAAAAAGTATCTCTATTTTTGATGTTCGATGACCTCCTTCTTCCTTAAAAAACTGGGGCACTGAGGAAACCAGAACTAGATGGTACATGTACCTGTGGCTGGACTTCCTCGCACACTTGTAGGAACAGATCACTTCAGTATCTATGTCAGAACCACTCTGTTAACATTTCTTCCCTCCTGCCCATGATTTGGCTTTCCTAGAAGGAAGAGGTATAGGACAGCAGTGGCTATGGTTTCAGATATCTCTGAGCTTTTAAAACATTGTGTCTTCTAATCCTCCTTAGATCATGCCTACTTATGCAGTGCACTTGAAACAGTAGTGGTTTTCTGAACTCCCATTTCTGAAATATAGCTCCAACCTATCCAACCAAATAACTGAAAATCAATTACCTCTTTTTGTTGTTTCGTTTTTGGGGGTTTTCTGGGGGGTGGGTTGTTTAGTTATTTTGAAAGACAAACTGCTTTTGTGTCCCTGCTCTTGTGATTCCACTGCATACAGTGCTTAGGATGTGTACATACATATAAGCACATGTTCTCACTGGAATTTCCCCTTTCTCCATTAAATACTTCACACTACTAATTCAGGTCTCCCTTTTAAAAACACAGGTCAAAGTAACACATTATTTAGAATCTTCTTTTGCATAAGCAAAGCTTCTGCAGAAAAAAAACCAAAGCAAGCATGAATAGGCATGAGCCTACTGTTCCAAAATAATCTGCTTTTGTTCTGAAACAAATAATGAAATGTGAAACAAACATGCAGAAATGTTCCCCAGTCAGAGACTGAAACTTTCCCTGTACATAGGAGGAAGTTAAGATAGATACCTAAGCCTGATTTAGGGAAAGCTGTGGCCAGATTACACCCAGTCACAGGTGCATGCAGAGGATGAGACATAAAGCACTGAAGTACTGAGATTTGACATTTCATCCTTCAACTTCATCAAAAGTTACCGTGAATTCCTGTTCAGCATGAAGTAGCTGTTTCACATCACACTGCAACAGCTGTTGGAGCTAAGGAGAAAAACAGCTTCTGCAGAAGGCAGTTAAGGTTCAGACCTCAAAACAAGGTGCCAAATACTGCTGAATAAGACAGTGTACTGACACTGGTTGGGACATACAAGTTATAAAAGGCCACAGCAGCATCCACTTAGCTCACCAGCTGTACCCTCCAGGCAGAATACTGATTAACTAATCTTCTATTACTGTACCAGCAGAGACTTTTAAGAAGTACTGGGAGAGTCATGCTGGACTACTGACTGTGTACAGGGACAGAAGAATTTTAGCCCACACCTTTTCATCCATCTCTCGTGTTTATTATGGCATTACAGTCATCCTTCTTTTTCCATTACTACATGCCTTGTTAGGTTTTACTCTGCAGGTGCTCTCATCTTAATAACAGCCAAGGATACTTTCATGCCATTATTTTCAGCTAGTATTTTTAACTCTCATTCCCTTTGTAGTATTTCTCTGTTCTCTTTGGGGTTCATGGCTCTTTACAGTTTATTATATAGGTATGTCATTAATTTAATGGATTTTCTTAAGTTTCTCTGGAGTGCTGTTGAGTATTTTTCTTTATCACCAGAAGTTCAACTAAAATTTTCACTTCCAAGCATCCTAGAGTTCTCCCTTCAATTTAGTACCCTGCCTTACCACTACCATAAGCTGCTGATCCTTTAAATGATTTTCCCTTTCAACCATTAATATAGAATTCTTTTCATCAAAGGCTTAATTTAAGACACAGATGAAGAGACCAGTATGATGAGATACTGAGTATCCTGCAAAGTTATCACAAATTTAAGTTGCTCAGTTTTATACATAAGGTCTAGTGAAAAGCAATCAACTTTGGTCCAGGCAAAACTAGTTGTACATGTAGTTTTAGTTGCTGAAATACGGAGATCAGGCATTCAAATGCTTTAAGCATCTTAGTGTCAATTTTTCCAAATAAATAAATTTTCCAGTAAATAAATAACTTTTATTTCGCAGGTTCATAGACTGAAATAACAAGAACTACTACTGATACACTGAGTTCATTAGCAGAACTTTGAATGCACTACTAGATACACTGTAAAAATGAGCAAAGTTCTTTATTCAATGAAAAGTTAATAAAAAATTTACTGTGGAGAGCCAAATATGAGAAAAAAACAGAAAGCCTCATGTCAGTAAGAATGGCTTGCTACTTACATGCTTAGTGCTAGCTGCTATTTCAAAACAAGAAAAGAAAGTTCTGTAAGTGATTTAGTAGATAGTTTTTTGCTACTCTTCTGAAAGAGTAAATATTTGGGAGGTATATGAATTCAGAGAACACTGTGTCTCTATGACTGGAATGAAGAAAGGTGTTTCAGAAAAGAAAAAAGCAAAACATAAGGAAGAAACAAAGGGAATGAGACTGGTATCACGGCCCGGTACAATTTCACTTGTGAGATGTGTTACAGCACCTCTTTTAAACACTGAATTAAAAACTTCCATCTTCTACTTCAAAACTGAGCTCTTACTACAGTTTTTAGGTATATCTGAGAAGAAACATTTCTAAATTGTCCCTATTCAATAACCCTTAACTTTTCTAAATATAGAAGCCCAGATGTACATGGTCACATGCCAAATCCTAAACGTTCACCTTTAAACTACGAATATGTGTTCTTTGATTAATGTCACAAAAGGTGAACATTTAGGATTAAAAAACCCTGTGTTTTCACAATGTCACTCAAAAATAGAAAAATATGTTGTTTATTTTTCCTCTAGCCAACAATACACTTCCATCAAATCCGTGACTTTCACTGCTTCACAGATTAGAAATATGAAGAATAAACACTTGCAGGCAAGCATGCAACACAGCACGTTTCTTACCCTCAGATCAATGACTCTGTTGTCCAGTCTTGTATCTTGGTTTACAGTAGCTCTTCCATCCTGAACAGTTGCACAAAAATACATAATGAACACACACACCTTAAAAAACCCTAAACAACCAAAAAAAAACAAAACCCAAAACCAAACAAACAACCCAAATCAAAATCCCAAGCCCAAAAGCAAAATTAAGAACAACAAAACAAAATACATGGAAAAACATCCTTTGGCTAAAAAACAAGGGCTACTTCTAAGTTCTGTAGAATTTCTAGATCATTCTAGAAACTGGCAGCAAAACTTAAGGTCTAACTTCTCCCAGAGGTCTCAGGCAGAGCCCAGCTATGAGTTCTGTGGGGGCAGGGGGTCAGTCTAGAAGATACACAGAAAACTACAAACCCTCTGGTTTTGACCTTCTGCAGTTCAGCAGGTAACAAGACTATAGAGATTTCTAACCCAGTTCTGCGTTAGCAAAAAGGAATTAAAATGCAAGCCTTACAAAACCCCCAAATCCCTGCATTAAGGAAGTTGCCTGGATTTCATGATGTTGTTTAATTACAAAGACAACAAAAGGTATCTGAGGATACAAAGTTTCACCTCCTCTCCTTCCACTTCTGGCCGAACAGCATCATCCAGCTGTAAGGGCAGTCGGGGTTCAGCTAAACTGATCACATAGATCTGAAATTGAGACAGGAACAGAAATAGCATAAGAATCAGCTCAAAAGGAGGTGTGATTTCCAGAAGAATATTTCTGGTACAGACTTGAAACAGTGTTTGCATAGGCTGTTAACTATAACACAGTGATTTTATTCAAATACTTGAGATACATGGGTGCATTCTCATGACAATACTGGAAGTGCTTAGTTGTTTTCCTGTTGAAAGATGATTTTTTTTTTCTTCTGGGAAGCACTCAGTTGAGCAAGTACACACTGCCTGAGGGACAAGCCTATTGGCATGAATGCCAGGTCTGAAACTATTAGATCTCACAGAGTTTCAGGTTCTGATTCCAGCAAGATCATCTGAAAGATACCTGAAAGAGCCATTTCATACTGAAAGTTCATGAGATACCTAAAATACAATCAGAGAATGAAAACCACCTTGCCTTACAGTGTAGTCACAGTGCAGTGAATTTGCTATTCTTTCAGAAAAATCAAGCATATGATAATCTGCACATATATTACAACATGTTTCTTCAAAATCTGCAGATTTTCCGCAACACCGTTACCTAAAATTTACTTTACTGCTATAATAGCCATTGTGCTCAACTCTTAAGGTGACTGTTTCAGCTGTATTGAAGGCATACAGTTTGGTTGAAAACCTTCAGAAGAAAAGGATATTACATAAAGGTTTAAATATCCTTTCTATTTAAACGAATTATAAAGTTGCACTTCCTCCAGCCCTACAACACAAGCTATAGGAATTTCGGATTTCAAGAGCTTCTATACTGTTAAGCCAGTGCTCTACTTCTGCTGAGATACGTGTTCCATTCTATTGTACTCAGGGAAAGATTGAAACTTTCTGATAAAGAAGAAACTTCTGACTTGCATTTAAAAAGAATCAGACATTTTTTTACAGTATCTGCTGCAGTTATGAATAAAAATCCAGAATTACAAGCATTCTTGCCCAAACTGCTCCAGTGAGATAATTTATTTTACTTTGTACTGTAATTCAAATGGCAGATAAAAATAGAAAATTCTAAAAGTCAAATCTCTTAAACCCAGAAATGTTTCCTGTTTATATGATACACTTGAATTTGTAGTTTTAAGCAGTTTTGTTTCTCTGGTATGGGACTGCAGAATGACAACCCAGACAGATGATTTCTCAAACAATTAACCAGTGTCCCGCTTGCTCAAAATTTACCCTTTGAACGTGAAGCTCAACATCTTGCTGAGTACAACCTCCAATTTTCTGATGTGCTTTCCTCACAACGCCTTCTACATCCACAATGCTCTCTTTGTTGATGCTGTCAATAAAGATAGGATAGGAGGTTTACTAAATTTCACTGCACACTGCACCAGTCTCAGTACTGAGTTCATGTACTGTCTGGACTGATGGAACACCAAAACAGAATTAAGGATTTAGGAAAAGTTACTTATTATATATATAATAACTGAGTAATTAAGGACTTTGCTAAAATACTCCCAGCCATGATAAATTCAAACTAGGATAAAAAACTTGGGAGTGAAAGAATTATGATTAAACTTAGTGCTCACTCAGTTTTCGCGTGTATATACATAAACTGACAAGTTGCATCCTTCTTCTAGGCCACATACATTCTTCTATGTGTCAGCTGATGCAATTATCTGAAAGACATGTCTTAGCCAGCAGAGCAACAAACAAAGGAAGTCTGAGCTTGTTTAAAATACAGGGCTTGTTACTAAAAGAAGCAAGATGCTTGTAAGTCATTTCTCTCATTTCAGGGGACATCTTAATTGCTCTCTGCTAACAGTGACTAATAGTACATTAAAACACTATACTGCTTGTTGAATGTCTTCCAAAAATATCATATAAAGTTCGTGTGCTACAAGCAAACAATAACAAAAGTCTCAAGAGTCGTAGGTGAGAAAATGATTTGGATAAGCAGCTTTTATTTAGGTATTTAAGGTACTGGACTTGAAACTAGTGATTTTCTACAGATAAACTCACCGCACTGGAAATACATTTTCACTGTTTCTTTGCTAGCTTGCTTACAAAAAGCCAAATATTAGAAAATATTTCTTTCCTTTTTATGAAAAATAACTATTACCATTAATTTCATCTTTCATTTCTCTGGCCTTCTTGAGACGAATGGAAAGCACTTCATGTACGTCACTTGACTACACAAGCCCTTAGAAAGCAGGACAGTAGCAGAACCACAATTTAACTGCAAACAGTAAGAGGTGAGCAAGGGCATCACTGGACACTACTGATCTTGTAAAGCAAAGAGCAATTAACAATCTTCAAGTTTACAAGGCTGGATTTTTTTTTCTATTTTTTTTTTTCAGTTAAACCCTTCTCCATGCCCCTGTAAAAACCAACCCACAAAACCCATACAGCTAAGTTGGAGGGTGGTGAAATAAAAGATTTATATGCACAGCAGGTGTTACTGAGGGGCAATAACTCCCAGTTAAAGGAGGTAAGGACAGAATACAAGCAGGTACAAGCTACTGCTGATGGCAACTACAATCTACTTGTATCTGCATCAGTTTGTCTAGCACCACCTGGAGGAAGCCTGTATAAGAGCTTGGAACAAAATCTCTGTATTCCAGCCCTACAGTCTTTTTGTACATACAGCTACAGTAAAACCACATGAGAAACTTTCTAGGACTGAGAAGTTTCTTTTTAGAAATATCTATGTTTGGAATTAGTCATCCTCTCACATTTTTAAAGTAGGATTTACCTGGGTCAACAATAAAGTTTATCCTTTTAGTTGATGAGGGAAATTTAAGTTTTCTTCTTTGATAAAGCTCAAGTGGTGTGACCCAGAAGGAGCTGAGAACAAATCACCAAGTGTCGCCAACTGTAACTGCTTATCTGCATGACTTTCTAGTATACCTGAAGCATCCATATCAGCCCTAAGAAAACATACATAGATGTTTGGTCTAACTTGGGACAAACTTTTTGATGTTATAAAGCTGAGCTCAGATTTAAGTTATTCAACATAAGTTTTGAATTTAAATGCTCAAAGTTTTTTAAAATCTGACCAGATTAAACTTAACAGTGGAAAATTCAAGCATCAAAATTCTCAAAACCTAACAGAATCATTATTAAGTAAATTACAAATAAGTTTCAGAAGACAAATTTGAGCATTTTAGTTGATTACACTATTTCTTTGACAGTAATAACTTTCAGGTAATATAGCTCATTGGTAGCTGCTCTGAAAGTTATACAGACAATGCTGCTTTACATGCTTGAACTGCTTAACCATTAGGTATTTCCACATACTGTATAAAATTTGTGAAGTGTACGTTTTTCAGGTGCATTTACATTTTAAAAGAGCTCCAGTTGCTCAAATCAGTGTAATGAACAAATGGCTAAATTTGTACAAAGCACAAGTTGACAGTAGGCTTTAAATCAGAATTCATTTAGTTAAGGGTGAATCTCCATTCATCGCCATTATTTAAGCAGAGGCAACAAATTCAAAAAAGATAAGGAGAAATGGCACTTGGTGCTTAGGAGTACACTCTACTGCAAATGATTCTTAAAACCTTCTTAAAACAACAAAGGCAGCAATACAATGCTTTGGAGGCAACAGAATGTGATGATAAGAAATGCACAGAGAATATATCATTGAATGTCTCCAGAGAGGGAGACTACAACCTCCCTAGGCAGCCTGTTCCAGTGCTCTGCCAACCGTCAACAAAAAGTTCTTCCTCATGTTGAGGTGAAACTTCTTGTGTTTTAGTTTATGGCCATTGCTCCTCATCCTGTTGCTAGGCAACACTGTAGAGCTGGCACCATCCTCCTGGCACCCGCCTTTGAGGTATTTACATGCATTCATGAGATCCCCTCTCAGTCTTCTCTCCTCTAGACTAAACACGCCCAGCTCCCACAGTCTCTCCTCATAAGAGATGCTCCAGACCCCTGATGATCCTTGTGGTGATGTTTAAAAGAATTAAAGCTTTACTCTTATGCTAACTTTTTTCCCCTAAACAGTTTTCCTCTAATTTTCCCCACCTCCTTTTTCATATTGGCATTTTGGCAAATACCCAGAAAAGATTACTAATGACATGAACAGCAGTGTCTTCACTGAAAAGTTTCTAATCTGTTGAGTAAAAACCCTCTCACTAGTACTAGCAAATAAAAAAAAAAAAAGTTTTAAACTTACTGAAGCAAATTCTCTGCACCATGAGAAAAAAATAATAGTTAAATTATGTTGTATGATGGATTCATCATTAGATTACCAATCCCATGACTAGAACTGGTGTTTGTGAAGTCATTACAGAACTTTGATCAGAACACATGTAGAATTCAAGACATGTAAAATGGTACTGGTTTAAAAATACAGGCAGAAACTGACTTTCACATCATTGTACCTGTAATACTGCTTTGCAAACTTGCATAGCAGAACCTTAAACTTTTCACTTGTGATTAAATGTGCTTTTTCTGTCTCTAAGCTGGAGTTGCACTTAAAACAGTACGCATCTTCATCTGGAGCATACTTTAAAACTGTAACAACCCGCAGTCATTAAATTTGACATAATTTTAAGATGTATTTCAGCTCAGTTCCTACCTATGTAGATCCCTGTATCCAAGTATGCATACAGCCTGGGCACATAAAGCACTACCAAGTTTTCTACTGCACATGGGCATCTTTGTTTTATACAAATATTCATCATCTACTCTGGACTTTCACTTGATAATTAGAAAATATGCCTTTCCTCTTCAGACTACATATTTAATCCGGTATGGAAGTAGAAGTTCATGCATCATATCTAAACTATGAAAACCTAGAAGGTGTTGCTTTGATCTCAACAGGGAATTCCAAGAATTATACTGTAAATGGTTATTTCAGTTCAAGTTACAAGAAGAAACAAGATGCTTTAATTGAATGCTAGTAACTATATCAAACTGTTCTCCACAGCAGCAGACTAAGTAATCTAGGTGATTTTTTGATGAAAATCCCCTGGCTAACAAAAATCCCCAAACAAACAAAAAGTGAACAAGTACCAGGAATGCACGCCAAAGCTATCAACATTTCCATTCAAGACAACAGTATTTTTAACTGTAATTAATATTACAAAGGACCAGCAACTAAATTAGATGCATGATGCATGATGCACTAGGACAGATGACATGTTTACATTTCATAATATTTGTTTAGTAATAAAGTCCAATGCTAAAAGATTCCTCTGCATAGCTTCTTTAAATATAACATTTCTTTCAAAAAATCAAGACTATAGTTACTAAAATGTCCACTAGATGCCTTATGTCCCTCTTAATTATCTGCAGGTCTGTTAGCCAAGACTTTCTCTTTTAACCACAGGATTGCATTATTGTAGTCTGTATGACAACATCTTTCATCAACAGCTTCGTGTTGCAAGCTGAACCCCATGTGGGCCTCCCTAAGTGTATCACAATCCACATTTTCTTGATCAGAAGTCTGAAGAACTGAAAGAAACTTGGTTATTTATAGACTTTACGTAGAAAATGTTTTACTTCATAGAATCATCTATACTTGTTCAGAAATTTTCTTGTTGTTTTTTTTAACAGTGTGTTTCTGTAAGCAGATTACACAAATTATTGTATTTATCCACTATTAAACCTAAAAATACTAAAACAATTGTTATAAAACAATAATCAATTATTCTTTATCTGAATGTCAGTGAAAGTTGAAGGTAATAAAGAGTTTACTTTGGAAAAATTAGTTCACTTTGTAAATAATTGAAAGTATGAACATTTTATACTCAACTCAGTTAAGAGCAACTGTAAAATCTATCTTCTTTTAAAGATCTTAAGTAGCAAAATTCACTACATATTTTTAATCATTTGTATTGAGGGAAAATAAATAAAAAAGGCACTTTATTTCCCTTTCCCTACCTAGCTGCAGCTTCTGTTCACTGCATCTTGTCATACCTTTGTATCTGCAACGCAAAGAACCCTCCACAGGCAGAAAATCTTCTTGCATAGATACCATCAGACTGGAATTTGCATCACTAAAATCCCTTCAATAGAATCGGGAGTTTTCTTTAGTCTCACAGGAAAGCAGATCTGCCCGACTGCATATCATTTCATCTTGCAGCTTCACCATCAACCTTTTCCAATTCGACATATATTCCAAGATAACAAAAGTGGCCAAAATATTCCAGAAATAGTCTAATAACTGGCATATACTGCATTAATGGCATTTTAGTCCTCTTTTTCAAAACTCAAACCTCCTAGTATAGTAGGTGAGAGAACCATGTGGACTCCTGTTAAATCAGTTATCTTACATTTCTCATCACTTACTTTCCTACGTATTAATCCTGAACATACACAGAATCTGAACTAATCACAAAGATACACAATGCACACTGAGGAGAGACAAAGCAATTATTCTAAATGAACCCTGGTTACTACATACTCTTAGTCCCCATTTTACCATTCCAATTTCTGTGAACAGCTGCGATTTAACATTTTCTTCCAGATCACTGATATAAAAGTTAAACAGAAATGGATAAAGAAAATAGCAGCAGTTTTCCTAGTATTACCAATTTATCTAGCTGATGAACTTATGTGTATTTTTCTACACTGAGAAGTATTTTCAGAAATGCTTACCTATCTTTCCTCTCCTCCCCCCCCCCCCCCCCCCCCGAATTTCCATTCTCTAGCCTCTATAAAGAGCCACCAAGTTACTTCCTGAGGGCACTATGTTTGGGCAGCTAAATTAGAATCTGTTAACCACCTCTCACAACTGCTAAATCATATGACATGGCTATGGGGGGATAAAGGAGGAGGCTTAACGCTGATCTGAAAAAAAGAAAGGTAAAGAAAACTAAACCCAACCACACCCAATACACTGCAGAAAAAAAGCAGGTTGATAAATTACTAACTGCATCACTTGTTACCTCTACTGGCTGACAGAGACAACTCTTTCTCTTATACAGCATCCATTGCAGGACTAGGCTGTGTTTTTTTTTCTGATGAAAGACTCCATAACTGCCAATCCAGTATCTCCAGTGGCTCTATGTTGTTGACTATGCATGTTCTAGAAGTTCAACTAGGAAATTTTCATAGAGTAACTCACAGAAATTTCTTTCTAAAATTGAGTTAAACCAGTATTAAGAATGTTTTACTAAAAAGAACTCACATTCTTATGACAATGGAGATAATTAGTATAAGAATGTTTCTAGACCACAGAAGGTTATGAAAGTTCTTGGTTTCCATGTGCCAATATCTAAAAGAGGAACTGGTTTGTTTATTATTTATGAAAGTTAGTAGAAAAAATGCTCATGATTTAATCAGTTCTCATTAAAAATTGAATATCCAGAATCTCACAAAGTATTTTAAAGAACATTTTGGACCCAGTATCCAAATACGATAAAGTAGCACATGAAAAATAAAATTTACGGGCTACCAGTGAAAACGTTTAGCTAAAAAAATTTAATGAAATGTAAGGTTTTTAAGTTAAATGTTTTCATCAATAAATGTGTGTCTCCTCATTTAATGTATCAGAAACAAAAGGAGAGGATGGAAAAAGACACTGAGAAAGGCAGAAAAACAGTACAGTTATTTTTAGACATCTAAGACCAGTCTCATCTACTAGTAACAATGGCTTTATTCCACAGCAGGTGAAAACTAGCAGGAAAGTGCCCGAAGACAAAGCACGTACTGTTGCTGTGCTTCAGGTGTTACTGGCACAGAGACAACAAGTGCACAAGTCAGGGAACAGCATCAGCTTCTGAAGGAGACAAGGCAGCTCCATTGGCAACATCAGACAAAATTGTAGAAGTTAAAGCACTGGAAAAAGTAACAGCATGGCAGGATATTAATGAAATGTTTGTTGGTGGGAAGGAATCATGATAAATGATTGCACTGATGGTGTCAAAACAAAAGCAAACCCCAGAAGAAAACCCAGAGGGCTGCAGCAGAGAATGATGTATCATTCAAAGAATGTGATGATAAACATACAAGCATTTTCTATGATTCTATTTCAGAAGCACAAGTAATTCATAAGACATGCATGCTACAAATTAAGAGAGGCTGAAGTATCAGGATACAGCTAGCAAATGCTGTCACAAAAAAGAGCAGAATGAAAAGTCAAAATACAGCACAAACATGAGTCTGCCTACTCAGGTCTGTCAAGAAAAGTGGGGAGATGACAGGGAACTGGAAAGAACCAAAGGATGAGGTTCCATCTGATTTAACAGCTCACTGCTGCCAGAAGAGAGGAGCTTTGCCCTCTACTCTTTCCAGATAGCCTTCTCCCCCATTTACCACTCCTTGTTAGCTTTGGACTTCTATGATCTACTTTTAATCACTAACCTGACAGAAAATGGAGTAAAAAAAAATAAGTTGATACACACACACACACACAAAAAAAAAAAAAAAAAAAAAAAGAAAAAATCATGGAACTCCTACAAGTTCCATGGAGCTCCTACAACTCTTACAACTCTTCCCTTCTTCCCTTTCATGAGCTCCTAACCACTGAGTTCTGCCACTCATTAAGAAATTCAGTTGTAGAGGAAAGAACTCCAAAGAAAAACTGAAAAAGAGAGATGTTGGAGAGAACTTGATAATAGGAGAGTGAGCATCAGAACTGTAGTATTTGTTTCACTGTTTCGTAACACAACCTTGTTGAGAGAGTACAGGCAGACTGTTGGTAGGTTAGCGGGAGATGAATTAGGGAACAAGTAGATTATACACTTAATTCTTTTCAAAGATTCTAAGCACCGGAGAGAACAAACTATTTCATGAAGAAACAAAACACTACACTTTGGCTCACAAACACCTGTAAACAGCATGTTCCACACTGGCACTACCAATGCTAAGCATCGCCAAACAACAAACACTGCTGGTTCTGTTTTCCCATTGCCTTGAATCTCAACAGCAGAAGCATTATCCTAACCTTTTTAACTTGGCTTCTGGAAGTCTGTACTATAATGAATCCCTCCTTTCCCTGACATATTGAAGGTTGAAGGCTATAGCACTTTTGCAGCTAATTAGTGGGGGCTCCCTTCCCAGACATGAGAGTAATGCCAAGAACTACACAGAAGCAACTCAAGTGCCACATGTTAAACATATTATTGTACTGAACTGATCCACATTTCTATTTGTGAACAAGCAGACATACATGATTAAAATCTCTACTATAAGAATACCTTTATCATGCTAGCATATTCAGTACTGAACAACGTAAAAGCAACAAACTTGAGGCAAGCATTAGAGGAAGGTAATTTTTTATCTTTAAGAGCAAAATAAACCAAATAACTGAATTTAAATTACAGCAACAAACACTTGTTTAACTGGTAAGCCTACCTATTACCCTCCCCCAATATTTAAATAAATAACTTATATCTCTCCTTAAACATTCTAGTGCCAAAAAATAAGGTGTAAATAAGATTAATTCAGTGCACAGAAGCTAGTCTTCGTTCTACAACTTGCAGTATGGAACTTCTCCATGTCAGTTCTTGCTACAAAACTTGCTACTACACTGCACGTCTTGTAGAATAAAAACCCTGAACATGTGCAGACATACACAAGCACCACGCACAGAATGAAGTGTCCCACTAAGCTCAGTTCGCCAGACTTTTTGTTAGCCAGCTTGAAAGTAAATGTAGGTTGTCTATGGTGAAAGAACGCTGCTTCAGCAGTTCAGAATGAATTTCAAGCCTGTTCTCTATTTTATCTTTTGTCAGTGTAATGTATTCAATGCTGTAGAGAGCTGACAATTTAAATAACTACATTTTAAAACAAACGAAGCATTGATGTTAATGTGTGAAAATGGTCCCAACCCCTGGGAGTCCTGGTTCCCACCATTGTTTACTCTGACAACAGGATATAATTGCTTACTTACTTGGCAGCAAACTTTACCATCTGCTTGCTTGCATGCTGTCCCACAGCCACAAGAGCCTGGATATTAAACTGCTGCTGACGCAGGACTAAGAAGCACTGCTTCCCTGAATACAAAGGAAAACAACGCAGGTGTATTAAGGACAAGTTACTTGAGGTCTTTGTGAATGAGAAAAAAATGCTTTACTACCTCACTAGTAAGCTGAAATTTTAAGTAGGGGGTTTTATCTATCCCCCTCATCACTGCCACCACCCAGTAGCTACACCAAACTAGTCAGTGTGTGTACACACACCCCCCAAATATTGATGTAAATCAAATAATTCTGCCTTACATCTATAAACATGTGAATGGACATTTTCTAAAAATAACATAAACCTTCCAAGAGAAATAATATCTAGGCAAAATAAAAACTAGAAATCCTGACTTTTAAAATACCCATTGTTCTTCAACTGCAAGAAGTAAACTATACTTTCCCCTTTTGCTTTGCTTACAACTACTTCAACTCAACATTATTTTAAAAGAATTTTTTTCTCATCTTCCCAAATTAAAGCTGTAGAGTTCACTCTACAAAGCCCCTCTGAGAGAAACAGGCTTGATTTTGCACCACAGAGACTAAACCAACAATGTTCATTCTGTAATACGCCACACATTCAGAATGAAGGGAACAACAGGAGTATTGATTCTGGTGAATGACAAGAACCTAAAAGATCCAATTAAAAATTCTTGTAAAAGCAATTTATTAATGAACATCTTAAGGAAAAAGAAGCTAATAGGAATTAATAATAATTTACAAAGAACATATTACACTTTGTTGACTTCTAAAATGTGTATTTCCAAGTCAACAAACCTCTTTCTAATCTGTTTAGCTGGCAGTTAACAATCATTTCATATTACTCTTCACATCTCTAATAACCATTTACTCTTTAACACAGATTTAAGGAAATACAGTGATTTTAAATGCTTCATCCTCAGAGAGAGAAATTAACAAAAAACACTTCATTGTTGTACCAGTATCTGATAAAATGTATCAATGTAATTTTAATTCCATGTTCTGACTCATAACATTATAACGTTCCCATTAAATGGTAAGAATAGGAAGAAGCCAGAAGCTTTGTTACAAACAGCTATTTCCCAGTTATTGTTGACTTAGATTATCAAACATTAAAATCAACATGTATCTAACTTGAACACTGAAACTGAAAAGCCAGTTGCAGTTTTCATTTGTAATTATGTAGATCACCATTCCTGACACATAGCTGCAGAGAATTTAAACAGTATCAGAAGATAAAATGCAGAACATCTGGCAAACAATCTGATGGAAATAAAAGCAAACATATAAAACTAGTACAAAATATTGTTAAAAAACAAGATTATAAGTACCGAAAATAACTAAGCTTTTCCTATGACTGTGATTTCAGAAATGCAAAAAAAATTAATTCCTTATTTTCAGAAAACAGAGCTATTTCTGTAATCCAGAGGCTACAATATCTAAGTAAAGAAGCTAATACAGTATGGATGTACATATTTCTTGCAGGCAAACATTAAACCACAGATTTAAATTAGAAAAGCACAGGCTGTGTTTCAGATCCAGCAAGTCAACAAATCAAACACAATTCTTCCATAGGACACAATACACTGTTTCTTTGGGTAAGCTAGTCATATCTCACATCAGTGACATCTCAGTATTTCTTCCTTAGAATGTAGTTTGATACAGTATTTCCTAGGAAAAAAAAAAATCTGTCTCCATGATTTTTGTCACAAATAATTTAGCAAAATGTAAGTTTCAGCAATGATGTGTTAGGTGTTCAAATAAAAAATACGCAGCTGCAGACAGCTACAATGTCATTCAACTATTAAATATTTAAGAAGAAGACAGTGAAATAAATTGAGGGACCTGCTATCATACTATAATCAGAAGCAAAAGTTTGGAAGCTGTACTTAATCCCAAAAGCCAGAAGTCTGATCAGTATCTACATAATAAAAGGACTCAAATCTTTTTGTCATGAGTAACAGTAGTTGTTTTCATGAAGAAAAAGGATGTTTTGCAGAATATAAGTATTTCTAATCAAACGGAAGATAAATGATCAAACACTCACTGACAGAGGTAGTGAAAATATCACAGTTACAAAGATTATAGGAGGAAACAGAACTTTTCCCAAAAGAGCAAAAGGCATGCAAAATAAAGTATCAAAAAGGCAAGCCATAATCAAATTTACTTTATGATTAGATGCCTTTTCAGATCAAGAGGCGGAAAAAAAGAAGTATCAGAGTGAGGGAGGGGAAAAAAAAGGGGGGGGGGAGAGGGTTTATGGGATGTTCTCCCACGTATTTCAGAATATTTACGTGGCATTTAAGTGAAAAGTGTAAGACCAAATTTACTCACGTTAAACAGTAAACTACTCTAATATTCTATAAAACAAATCAACACTGTGCTGCAAGACTGCTCAAAAAGATTAAAAACTTCAAAAGAAATTTGCTTAAAAAGATCTGACTCAGTCTAATGCAAGGAACTTTTAGTCACTGAACAAATAAGAGAAAACCCCACACAGAGAATCCCATCAAATAAAGCCATAAAACCAAGAAGGAATCCATTTCCTTCCTTGTATGTGAGTACCAAATGACACAAGACCTTTCAAGAAAAAAGGATGTAAGGAAGGAATTTGTATAAAGAGTAGAAAATGTTTGGGTATACAAATTAATACATTGCTAGTTACAGACATCTGCCAGCAAAGTGAAAAAGGTATATGGTTTATTATAAAATTTGCTCTTGGTGGTACTCTTAATTTTCAGATATACTACTTCATGTTTTATAAACCTCTGCATTCATAAACCAGAACCAAGTTCCAGACTAACATACTGCTCAAGTGCCATCTGCCTGGCAGAACCCAGGCTGATTTCCCAACTGCTTTTCAATGATAAAAGCAAACAGTAGCTTAGGCTGGCTTCAAAATAAAGCCAGATACAACATTTATTCAATGTATTATAAAAACCACAGGGCCTCAAGCACTTTAATTTCAGTACAACCCACAGAAATTCCCAACACCCCATTCTTTACATATCCTTCAGTTAATTTCCATCAGATTTCATGAGTGGCTTGCTATATGAGACAGCTGGATGCTGCAGTTGTTCAAATTCAGTGTTTTTGCTTTATTGGTCAGAACTGGACAGAATTAAATAAAGGGTATGTTGGTTATTTAGAAGTCAAATCCGAGCTTCTGAGAAAAACTAAAGCTATTTTTGCATAAGATTTTCCTTCTTCCTGCAAGACTTTCCTTTCCATAATGGTAGGAATAGCACCTTGATGTGTGTGGGAAAGCCTAATACTACTTTTTACTCTTAAACATTTGCTTTTCTTGAAAGACTCTTTCCCCCAAAGATTATGTAAACAAGGGTATGGCATTTCCTGAATGTCAGAATTGTTCTGTGTTGTCAGACCAAGAGGGAACAAGAAACACAATCAATAAATTGAGAATGCTTCATGCCCATAATAAACTCCTTTGCTTTCATTCATCAGGCTGTGTGAAAGGGTTTTGAAATTAAGCACTTATTTCATGAGAAATGATAGTCTTTCTTGAGGTCAAAGGTGAAGGATGACAATCAGCTTCTTGTAAGCTAATATTGCCATGTTACATACATATTACTCTGATTGAAGTGCATATATCATGCAAGGTACTGTATATAAACACAATACAGAGAGAGTAATTAACAGCTACTGAGCTTTATGTTGTTTTAAAGGTCTGCACAGACACAACACCTGTGTTTAATAATACTAAGTTCTGTTAATAGTCTGAATTCTTCCTACAGCCACAAAAGAAAAAGCCACAAGGATACCCTTATTCATATACTGATGTTAATATTAAAATTACAGAGTATCTCCTGTCTGAATAAGTTGCCCAGGGAGGTTTTGAATGATCCAACCCTGGCAGTGTTCAAGACCAGGCTGGACGAAGCCTTGAGTGAGATGGTTTAGTGCGAGGTGTCCCTGCCTATGGCAGGGGGGTTGAAACTTGATGATCTTAAGGTCCATTCCAACCCTAACTATTTTATGATTCTATGAACAACTTGAAGTTGTAATGACCGAGGCTTTCACACCTTTTAGGGTTGATGGCTTCTATAAATAGCAAAGAGACATTTCCATGTAAGACCCCACTACAGAACTATTGAGGAAATCACAGAAGACTTCCTAAATGTAAAGATTCTCATACAAACTAAAATTTGCATTATATGTATACATTTACATGCAGTTCCTTAACTGACTGCAGGACAGACACATTAAGAGGGACTTATTTTATTTTTAATGAAGCCTCAAAAATAAAAATTAATCTGGTATCTGTGACAATATTCTGTAATGGATTCTTGCCCCCAATTTGCTTTAGTTTCAGTTCTGAGACTATAATTAAGTTTCATTTGTGAAGAAAATTTCTTTATGCTCTTTTCATTCAATCTTGGGAAGACAAGGTATTTATATCTCATTACAGAACTGCCAAACGTAACTGAAACTAGTACAACAGTTGTCAGCATCTGATGTCAACTGAAAAGGCCAAAGCCTATTTAAGTTTGTATATGGCAAACTGATCTTCAGAGAGAACTTCTGATTCCAGGGAAGAAATATGGCTGTCAAAGAGCCAAGTATGACAGCCCACACCACTCAGAACCTATAAAAAGATTTTCCCTTTGTCTTGTAAAGATGATGTTTATTTGAAGTTCAAATAGGTATAACCAGATACTGGTAAGTGAAAGTAAAAATTCTGAAATTTTAACACAGATTTTTGCTTCCTGTCGAAGAAAAGGTATAGTGAAAATACTCATATGCAGCAGGATAAATATGGCCTGACAGCTGATACGTTTATACTAAAAGTACGTTTTACAGTAGAAGTTTTAACTGTTTTATCTCACAACTGTTAACACCCAAAGAAGAATGACTATATTTTTAAATTCCTTTTATAATTGCCTACACATTATTTAGTAATATGATAAAACTAAAATTCACTTTTACTAAAATACCCTACTTACACTCAGCTGAAAACAAAATTTCCTTTTCCCCTCTTGGGAAAAGAGAGGTGCTAAAAAAAGAAAATAACCAATCAAAGTAAACACTGAGTAACCAGGTTGTAAAGTTTTCTGGTATGCAAGACATAACTAACAGGTCATGACAACAAAATAAACATTCAGCCAAAATATGAGGAAATAAAAGCCTGAAGGCTTCTCACCTTTAGCTCTGCTTGTATGAATTCTGCCGCGAACCCAAACTATTTCATCAGCCTTCTCCACTGTCAAGTCTTTTATTTGAATCAAAACTCTATCTGAATTACAGAAAAACAAACAACACCACAATCTTAAAAACAATTTAAAATAAATTTTAAGCAAAACATCTTTCACTTTAGATTCCAAAGACATTTTCCATCATTGCTAAAATACATAATAAATTGAAAACATTTTTTGTATCTACAGGATAACAGACGCACTGAAAATACACAAGATGGCATTTCCTTTCTCAGGGTATTGTACTTGATCAAGTAGTTTTAAATTGGTTCAAGTTTATGGTTTGACATATACAGCAGGGTCAAACTGCACTAAAATAAAAGCAAGACTTGCTGTAGTTCACGGATGGAAGAACCCAGCCTGACTACAGTATTTTTGATAGGATTTCCCTGTACTTCAACTGTACTGCCTGCAGTTATTAATCTGAACTTCTGCTAGCTAACTGATGCCTGCCCGACTCCACTGTGCAATGTGAAAGTTGGTATGTTGGACACAGCAAAACAAAGGCTCAGAGGTGACATGACTATTCTCCGTATCTAGTAAGTAGAAAGGTGAATATCACAGTAAAGTAACTACTGTTTAGAGGAGAAAGAAACATAAATAAATGTGAATTAGAAATGAAAATATTTTGATAAAAACAATAATGTTTTGGAGCAATAAGAGTATAACTCTGTAAAACCGGTAAAATGTATTTTTGAGGAGAATCTCTTTGACAACCTGATCAAGCACTACTATCATTGTACAAGCCAGAAAGAACCCTTTCAATTCTATATACCCAAGAAAGCTAAACAACAATAGGAATGCATGGTCCAGAAAGGCTGGATTTTGGATCGCAAAGGAAAAATAAGCTATGGAGGAAAATATTTTTAAATAAATCAGGGCAGTTATGAACTGCCAATATGCTGGCTGCATAACACTATTCCTTGAGAAGTACTTGTTTAATTGTATTTTTTCCAGCCGAATGTGTTTTTGCATGGTCTCAAACACTTATTTCTTACAGTATCTACAAATGACTTAGAAGGTATACACAGCATATTTCTAGCAGCTTCACTTACTCATTTACAGTTTGCATGTGGGAAAAACACTGCTTATTTGACAAAAGAAAAATTTCTAAGGGAGATATTGATCCTTATGGGTCTCTTTCAACTTGAGGTATTCTATTATTCTATGAGTCTATGATCTGTAACACAAGCAAACTGACTCTTGTTTTATCACAGACTTCTCCATTGTTTCAAAATAACATTAAATTTACCAAGACACTTCCACTCTAGACTTTTCCCGCCAGATCTTTTCCAAAGTTTGCTTACCCTAGGTTACCATCTGCTGCTCTGGACTCCTTCCCTCTATCTCTGAATACCAGTCACAGCTTGCCCTCCAAGCCTATTATTCTGCACTAGATATTTTAGGGGGTTGAAAATGTTTATTAACTTATACTCAGAGCAGTGCAGTTTCTTCTTCACAGGCAAACTTCAAAACACAAATAGAATGGAAGTGCACAGAGAAATGTGATGAGAAATTGATTCAAATATATTAATAATGTGTGTGTGTGCACGTGTACCCGTGCACTGCGGAAGGGAGAAAAGGGAATAAAGATGTTATCACTTGCCAGCAACTTCTGATATTTAAACTTTAACAGCACTGTTCTATAGGAAACACACAACCAGTACAAACCATGCACTTCAGTATATCTAAGAGTTTGATATTCAGACAGTTAAAATTACCTCAGTCAACTTAAAACTATATTATTAGAAACATTTTCCAGGCACAAGCATAAAGACAGAATGAGGTGCTACTTTTTTTACAGATCCTTAGTGTTTCAGGAACCATATGCATTAGATAAATATTTTTTAAGTCTTTTGTATACATAATGGTTCATATTTCATCAAGACTAAACAAGACACCTTTAACACAGAAAATTTTATCTGGTATGAATTATTAAAAACTATTTCACCTTTCATAATACAGGTAATAAAACAGTATCAAAAGAGAGATCATAAAACCATCTTTTCCAAAAGCAGATTGCAGAATCACATCATGGCAGAGGTTGGGAGGGGCCTCTGCAGGTCACCTGGTCCAACCCCCTGCTCAAGCAGGGCCACCTAGAGCCAGCTGTCCAAGACTGCATTCTGATGTTTTTTTAATATCTCCATGGAAGGAGACTCCACAATTACCCTGGGCAACCTTTGACAGCGCTTGGTCACCCTCATAGTAAAAGATGTTCCCTCATGATCAGAAGTTCAGAGAGAACTTCCTCTGTTTCTATTTGTGCCTATCTCCGGTCCTGCCACTGGGCATCACTGAAAACAGCTAGATGTAGCAACTGTTATGTCACTTTGCTTCCCTCCTTCACCACTTTCCACTCTACTCTGCTTTTCCTCTTATTTCTAAAATGCCAGTAGTTCAGGGTAATGTCTGCATTTCTTAGGGTAAGCAATTGTTTGCCATTCATTTTTCTATTGTCCAAGCAACATGCTGTAGCTCAAATCTTCCTTCTTTACTCCCATGTATCAATTCACCTGGAACTCCTTTCAGTTAATTTCTCCCATGAAAAAAATTTCTTCCATGAAAAAGTGAGAGCTTCTTGCTCTCACTTTTCAGGTCCTATTAAAACTATACTCCTCAGCCTGTCACCTACATGTTCTTTCAGAAATGCAAGCTATACTTACATTTTCTTGCCACATAAACACAGACAACTAAATAATGCAAAAATATATGTTTAAACCATGCTATAGTTGCCATGAAGGGAACAAAGACTTTAAACAAAACACTCCTAAGTCTGAAATTACACTTTCAGCCCTAATTCAACATTCACGCTACCTCACCGTCATTGCCAACTTGAATTATGTTTATGGGGAAACTTTATTTTTTTATTTCCTTCATGTATAGCACAATCTCCTCTATTCAACAATCGAAATATCCTTAACTTTAAGAACTCTAACCTCTTCTAAACATGAGAGATGAGGCTAAAACCCAAAAAAAGCTGTGTGGGTTATACAAGACAATCACTTTTCCACCCCCAGATCCATACCCCAGTTTGTTTATTTAGCTTGCATCACAGAGTTTTGAGCAGTATGATCAATATTTCTGCTATCTCTGTGAAGTGCCAGGGATAAATTCTAAAAAGAGAATATACATTTAATAAAAAATCCTGAAAGTCAAAAGCAGTATAAGATGAAAGCAGCTTCCAGGTAGAGGTGGAAGTAATGGAACTGAAGGGAGAAAAAGGGCAAGTCAAATGAAGTTTTACTAGCAATCATAGCCTCAAGCACGCAGGAAGGATTTAAAGACATCGTATAACAGGAAGTGAGAACATCACATACCACAGCCAACATCAGCAGAAGAAAGGCTGGAGTGGGTGAAGAATGAAGGCACAAGTGTGCGTGAGATCAGTAGAGCAAGGTGGAGCATCTATGCAACAACTCTGTGAACATGTGAAGGGTTTTAATTTGCTTGCAGAGGAACAAGAATCTATGAGTACGATGGAAGGACAATAAACCTACCCATGGAAAGTGAGAATAATTTGCTCTGAACACTCCAAGCTTTTCAACTTCCCATGTCCTGCCAGTGTCCTCAGAAGAGTGCAATTACCACAGCAAGCCTAAAAGCAACAGTGCTGTAGAGGTACAACTGAGCTCCTACCCACAACTGTCCAGTATTGTCTGTTGGCTCCAGTTACCAGACAGTATGTGGAGGTGCATGTCTCACATCACAATTCATTATTCTGACTTAGAAATGACATGTACCCCCAGTCTTCAGAAACAAACAAAATAAACACAGTACAGATGTGAACACTCACATCTGTGCTCCCCTGCAACCTCCTGCCCCAGGCAGTAGTTCCTCCAAGACACTCAATGCAAGCAGAATACTTTGGGGAAAAGCATATACACACTACTAATGATGAGTGATGACTTCATCCTCCCGTGAGCCCTCTGATAAGAGCTCTCCCTGGCAGGAACTACTGAATCTTTAACTAAGAGAGCATTAGTATCAAGAAGGGGACTAGCCTGATCCTGAACTATTTTGTTAGAAGTATTTTGGTGTTCATTGTTACCTAATTCTGGTGTTCTAGATAATAATCTTCTAAAAAACTGAACAGCAAGAGTGTTTTAAGTTGTATTTTAATGAAAATGAAATTTTATTGTATTTTAATGAAAAACCTATTTAATCTTACCCACACACTGGCTAAGACTTTTTTTTTTTCTTAAGGATCGAGTGTCAAGGGGACAACAGATCTGAGCACAGCATTCTGCCCTTCTCGTATCATTTCCTGTAGCTTTCACCAGTTTTCCTTCTCAACATATTCTTTTTTTCTCCACAGTATTTTTGAGTGTTTCTTTTGACTGTGAGACAACTGGAGGGACACTTTCTCCATGAGACTAGGGTTTGATCCATCATCTCAATCTGCCAGCTTTGGTCTCTCACATAGTTGTTTGCTACAGGGTATGAAAGTGGCAAAGTGGCAGAGTAAACAGCTTGCTGAAACTCTGGTGATCCAAACGCCATCAATTTTTCAGCCTGCAGTCAGCAATGCAGGCTAACCAGTCAGATGCCACCTTGGAGTTACTAATTTTCCTTAATAGTGTACCTTGTAGGTTGCAACTGCACACCAATTTATGGACTGTTAGTGGTTACATGTAACTATGGATGGCTGTATTCCTGCCCCTTCCAGCAGTCATCATACCCCCAGCAAGACTCTTTCACTTTGGTAGGCTGGCTAAACAAATTGTCATTACTGGCAGGTTGACACAGATCAGCAGAAGACCCAGCATCAGGGAGACCACAGATGCCAGCAGTTTGGCTGGCTTATATTGTGATTTCAACTTTAGTTCGCTTTCTTTGATAGCTAGTATGTATTTTATTCAATAATGACTGTTAATACAGTCTCTAGTGATCTTCTTGTCCTGTTACACTCTTGACATAATGTTCCCCTTCACAGCTGGCTTCCACCTATGATAGCTTTTGTGGCTCCTCTTCTTCCCTACATTCTGCAATTCCCTTCCTAAGGAAGGTCAACCAAAACAACAATTCAGAGGGGAAAAACAAAATCACCCAATCACAGATGATGCTCATTTTTTACATTTCATTATGAAGAAGTTACAAGAAGCCAATCTATTACCTTCCCTCGCCTGTTTCATGCACTGAATAATAAGATCAATATTTCCTGGGATTAGATTGTTCTCTATCTAACAAGTCTTTCTGAACCCCAATTCCCCATCAGTAGAAAATAAGGATTTCCTGAATTCATAGTGGTGTGGATAATCATAGAATCATAGAATAGTTAGGTGCTCATATGCAGGACTAACGAAGATGACATAAGCAGACAGCTATCCTACTCAGAGCATCGTTGCAGCAAGCCGTAGCAGAATTTACCCCAAGCAAAGAAAAAAAATGACATCTCTAACTTGGCACATTACAAATAACTATAATCTAAAGCAAGAAGAGTCAAGCCTGCAGTAATGGACAGACACAACAGCTGACAAGCTGTGTAGGGCATGATCCAGGCACAGCAAAGACTGAGATTCTATAACCTCTCTGGACCCAGATTCAATATCCAACCACAGTCGTAATTTTTTTTCCTTCTACGTAACTGGAATTTCCTGTGTTCCCACCTGTGCCCATCACCTGTTGCCCAGTTACCACACACCTTCAAAGAGTCTGACTTTGTCTTCTCTACACCCTCCATTAAGAAGCTTTAAACAGTAATAAGATCACCCCCCAGCCTACTCATATTCAGGCTGAATAAGCCCAGTTCCCTCAGCCTCACCTCAGGGATCCTGTGCCCTAGTCCCCTGAACAATTTGGTAGCTCTCCACTGGACTGGTTCCAAAACATTCAGTTTCCTGGCACCAGAGAGCCCAAAACTGGACATAGCACTCCAAAGACAGCCTCACATGTGCCAAATGCATTCAAATAAAGGAAATGCCAGCAAGATTTGAATGAAAACGTATGATAAATTATTTCTCAAACAAATACTGAAGATATCAAGTATATAACTTTCAGTCTCTCTTCCCCCCTTTTTAAAAAGCTTTTCTTGTTTTTTAACTGACCTGGTTTCTCTTGAGATTGTATCATTGAGGACACTCCATATCTTTCCTTTGCATAATCCTAAAATGGAGGTAAGAAACATATATCAAAGAAGCATACACAAAAAGATGAAAGAAAAATTACAAAGTTAACTGAGGCAATACAAAACAATTAGCCATAACAATAAAGTTAAGAAGTTGTGCTTTAGACTCTGAGATATGCAACAGAATTGTGTCATGTAAGAAAAAAAAAATTCCAACAGCAAACATTAAGATCACAATTTTCTACACAGAAGCTAGTGTGAATAGTCCTATATATAGCCTACCCCCTAAAAAAGCATTCAAGTCCTACAGAAGTAAGTCCATTGCTAAGTATTCCCTTCCCATAACCAGGCACTAAGAAATGCAGCAGATCACATCATTATGACAGGCAAAGCAAGCTCTACTGACTGCTAACAAAATCTGCTAGGTAAGACACAGGGTGGGGGAGAGATGCAGCCTTCTCATCAAAAAGATCACAAGTTTTGTTTTCCAACTAAGCACGTTCACTTAAAACAAAACCAAAAGGCACCATTGTTTATTTATTTTATTCTATTCAATATATGAATATAAGATAATTCTAAATATTTTGGACAGTCTTCGCTTCTCTGCTTTTGCTGAATTACAGTCCATGTATAATTTTACAGAAGCCATTTTTACTCAGAATTCCTTACTGCTGATGCATTTTTGGCCTTTCAACAGCAAGCAAAATCTAAACAAAATGAACTGATTGCTTGAGGTTTTTTCCAGCCCTGATCTGCGATCTTCAACTGCAAGACAGAAACACCTGCGAGGCCAGCAAGCGCCACCAGTGCCCATGCAGCAGTAGTCTGCTATGGAGCAGCAGTAGTCTGCTATGGAGCAGCAGCACAGTCCCTTAGGGGGACACAGAGACAGGTCTGTGCTGCTTCTCAGCGCTCAGGGCCTCCTCCACCCGCACACGCGGAGACCAGATTCCAGCAAGACTCTGCAAACGCCATGTGACGGAGAGAGGCAGAACACTTCAGTAGATCACTAACTGGCTGGGCCCTGAAAAGGGGAAGGCGGACAGGGGGGCAAAAGCAAAATGCAGCTCTGCCCTGGGGCCGGGCCAGGCACCCCAAGGCCTTGCCTCCCCACCCCACAGGGGACGCTGCAGTCTGCTGCCTCCGCGCCGGCCTCAGCCCTACGCCAGGGCGGACCCTATCCCTTCCCTCTCTCGGGGAGCACAGCCTCGACGCCGCGCCCGACCCCTCCCTGCGGAGACCCACATCAGCCGACGACTCGTCGCTCTCCGGGCGGCGGTCCTGGCCCTGACCGCGACCGGCGGCACTCGGCATCCTGCTGCAGCCGGCACGAACTTTCAAGCACAGTACAGCAAACGACGGCACAGCACGACACAACCCCGTGCGCCACGCCGCTTCCGCGCACCCAACTCTCGCGAGAGCGGAAGCAACAGCGTGAGAGCGCCGGGCCTTCCCCGCGCCGCGCTGCCTATCGCGAGAGCTGAGCCTTCGTCTTGGGTCAGTGCCTGACGGCAGACTGCTTGCGTGCTGCCAACGCCTGGGGCAGCGGTGGTGGGCGTGGCGCGAGGTGCCTCAGGGCCGGGAGATGTCACTTACCTCCCTCCCTCCCTCCCTCCCTCTCTGCGGCGGGCAGGGCTGCTTGCCGCCCCGCCCCCGTTGCTTTGAAGGCGGGCGGCACTCGAAACGGGCTTTCCCACGGAAGTACAGCAGCCCTGACGGGCTCAGCGACTCCAGCCGTGCTCTAATGCTGAGGGGAAAAGCGGAGGTGTGCCGGCCTTGGGCCTTGGCTCTGAGCAGTGCGGTCCTCGCTAGCGCTGCTTCGAAGTCTGGCATGTTACGGCCCGAGGTAACTTGCTGGACTGTGAGGTGGCTAGCTAATGTGCTCGGCATAGTTTGGTAGCCGAAGCAGAGTGCAGTTTTGTTCTATTTTATTGGCAAATCTGGCTTGCCAGTCCTCAGCCTGATAGCGGTTTAGTCTCCTGTACCCCTGCCAATTCCGGAGTTTATTATTAGCTAAAACCCAGAGTAGAGCTGGTAGCCGGCAGAAGATGAACGTTAGTGCAAATCCAGGTGTTTCCCTCCAGCTGGGTGCTTAAATCAATGCTACAGTATTGAGGTCTGGGCTTGCTGCAGGTGCCAGCATTCAAATGGCAGAAATCAAAGTTGCAAGCAGCTGTTGAGTCCTATGACTGTAAATTGTTTGTTTTGTGCAGGATGAGAAGGAGTTAGCTGTCCTGATTTAAACAGCAGTTTTGAATGTTCACATTTGACTAATCCCTCTTGCGGTACCAATTAGGGTTCTTAATTTCCTGTCTTACAGTTGTTTTGCTGCACTTTGTACTGCATTGGTTCATCTCGTGGGAATCCCCTTGCAAAGTTCCCCTTCTGCGTCTGTCTCAGAGAATTGTGTGCTTCACCCTAAGACCACATAGCTCTCACAAAATTCTTCTCATGCAAAATGCTATTGCAAAGAGCTAAGATCCAGTAACAGAGAAAGGAAATCCCAGTCAGTTTTCATACCTCCTCACCACATGAAACAAATCTCTGACAGTCAGGTGTCAGACTATACTTAATAGGTAATGTAACAGTAACAAAACACGTGGATTTTGTACAGTTAAGTCTTTTCTATTACCTGTCACTTAGAACACAAGGCTGAGCAGAACCACTGCTGAGCCTTATCTAACAGGCAGATGTAAATCTTGTGCCTCACCACGGAGTAGACAGTACCATCTGTACAGCAGAATGCCCTGTAATTTCACTGACTTTGCTGTGAAATTCAATCAGAACAAACCAACCCAGTAACCCCTCTTTTTATGCTGGGAGCCTTCCACTGTGAGTAGCATAACGACTCTTCTCGGGGGCAAATGACCTGAAGGTGGTTCTGCAGGAAAAACCCTTTTAATATAATGAGGGTGTTAACTGAAAACAAAATATGGCAGTTTAAAGGGCAATGTAGCTAATTATTCCATTGCCAAACTTTCAGAAGAGGAATTTTCCATTGTTCATGCTCAGGTCATTTGTCCAGTATCCCTTTGTCTTGCAGTGGAGAAACAGGGGGTGTGGGGGGGGTGTGGGGGGTGTGTGTGAACAACAACAATACACTGAAAATAGAAAAATAAATTAATTTTAGAAAGGATTACTGATGAATTATTTCACATTTGGTTACATAAACCTCTCAAAAGTCTCCATTTAATTTGGGACTGCAGAAAAAAAAATCGTTTTCCTATATCCATCTCACAAAGATTATTACAAATCTTCTGTTAAGAAAACAAAATGCTGTGAGCAGATGATATAGCTCATCTGCTGCTCCTTCTGTTTCATTGCACTATTATTGAAAATAGTGTAATTGGGGCAGTACCTGCAGTGAACCTTAGAGTGGTAAGTATGAGCAAAGCCAGCGCTGGGCCTGGGTGGGAGGCAGAGGGTCTGGGGGACCTGCTGGGGGAGGGGGCAGCTAGCTCTGTCCCCTGGGCCTTCCCGGAGGATTACCAAATGGAGATGACATCACCCGCAGCCAATCGGGGGGCCCCGGGGGTACAGCTGGATGGAAGCCATATTCCACTTAAGTAATAAGACATGACATACCATGTGCTAATGCTAAATAATTTATCCCTCAGGCATATAGTGAATTGCAAAGCCAAGCTGTAATTTAAATTAAAACTGGGTTTTCCATCTTAAAGGGAGGGAGGGGGTTGTCAGTTGTTGTGAACAAAAGTAGAATGCAAAAATCTTGCGGGGGGGGGGGGGGGGGATGTGTCTCCTTTCCCTCTCCTTTCTCCTGTTATAATCTAATCTAATCAAAACACTTTTCAGTGGTTTTGGAGATGTACTCCATGTATCTCTATTAACAGGAAAATCTTAGGGGAAGTTTTAAGTCACCATGAATAATGATATCTGTATATCCTTGAAGCTGAGGCATTAGCACCTGTAATATCCCCAAACCGAAGCTTTTCCAAAATTTGGTCATATGTCTATTTGTATTACAAATATTATATGGGCATTTCCACAGCAGCGTTGTAAATATGTGTCATTAGGAATCCAGAGGCATTTGCTTATGCTTCAGCAGAAGATCACTCCCAGTCAGCCTCTTTTCTGGATGGCTTGAGCTAGCAGTATATCGACTGAATATGATGTTACCACACCATTTTGTTGCCTGCTGTTGGCTGCTGGAACTCAGAACATACCCTTTCCAACACAGTCGCCCAGCTAAGCTAGGCCAAACCTTTGACATTTGTTAAATTACAGTGCTGGCTTTACTTAAAAGCTGGGTGCCACAACATGCTAAACAACACTTCCACTGAAACCAGGAGTTGTTGAAAGCAGTCATCACCATCCATTATCTATTCTTATGTAGCACTTTAAAAAAATGGTGGTTCAAATATTCTTCAATCTTCCAATGTGCTGTTGATGAAGAAATGAATGGTTAAATTATACACAGTGTTGGTGGGAAGGAGATGGCAGTTGCCTTTAAGGTATTTTAGGATAAGAAATTAAAAGGACCTCTGGCCTAAGGAATAAGTAAGAATATATTTACCTATTCTCCTCATGTTTGGCTAGTGAAAACCTGGAGAGCATGAAGTGGTACAGAGTGAAAAGGACCATATGGAAAAAAATACAAAACAACCTGGTAGTGTCTCTGAAAGGTCTTCAGGGAATTCAGCTTTATTGCCACAATAGTACACTTTCCAGTGTGCAATTACTTGTTGTCATGGAAAGGGACTTTGAAGATTTCTCTTTTTTTGGATGCTGCAAACCGTGCTTAATTTAAGTAAAAGGTTGTGTTTGATTTTTTCTTTCCATATTTGTTTACTTACCTAGGTTTTGGTACAATCATCAGCCTGGTCTCCAAGTTCCCCTTAGATAAGAAAAAGAGAAAAAAAGAAACACCACTGAACAAAAAACAGCAGCCAAAAGATGAATATATTATTTAATTTTTTAAGTTATCTAAGTTCATAATGTGTATTCTTTGATAAGGAATGCTCTTCAACTAATAATTCTCAACCTTGGCAAAAATGCATTTTTTTATTTTTTTTTTTTTACTCAAACATTTGTACAATGAGTAACAAAGCCTTTGCATCTAAATCCAAGTAGGAACAGAATTTGCCAAATCTAATTCCTTCCTGGATTTTCGCAGCTCTACTTCCTTTAGGAAGTTTTTAGTCAATGGGAAACAAAGGCTTATTGAAAGGATTAAAGTTACAACTATTCTCTTTGTTTTAGAGCTTCAGTCACGGTTTTCCTCTAGTAAACAACATTTGCAATTAATAAAACTTCTAAAAAAACAGGAACTTTGGTACGTGCTTATGATAAGCAGCAGGATTTCTTTTAACAGATCTCTATACAAAGGTGTAGTCTTTTTAAGTTATGACAATGATAGCAATTGAGTTTTTCAGTGCATTTTAGAAGTGTTCCTTCTGATAATCTCAGGACCACATGCTCTACAGTCAGGGATGGGCAATACATTTAAATAGGATGTATCTTGTCAACAGTGTATTGTGTCCCAAAATGATTTTAAATAGCTGCAAACAACTCACATTTCGTATCAGGCATAAACCTAGTAATCATGTCTTACACAATGAAATATCTATGCACATTGGACATACACTGCTGCATATATTTATGAACTGTTACCCATAAATTGTTTATTGTTTCCCTTATGTGATGCTTGAAAAAGTCATTTCGATAGCAGTTATCACTGCATGAATAAGAACACATGGAATATTTAATCTTTATAATTTATCTTTTACTGGTTTTATGTCATGAAATATCTTATGAATATTTTCATGTTTATATCAGCTGTATTTTTCTTACTCACTTTGTGTGTTTACTCCCAAGGAATTATCTCCTGTCAGAGGTAAACTGAGGGAAACATTGTAACTTTTTTGACAGGCCTCCCTGGAGGGCAGTGTGGAGCTGCAGGATGATGGGGACTGACTGTTGAGGGGAGATATTCTGTAAACAGCTCAACTATTGCTCTCACCCAAGTGTCCAGTTCTTTTACTGGGGTGGTTTATGTCCAAAGGGTGCCAAAACCAGCCACCTGGAGATTAAAGAGACTGCAGTTCTGGCTGGCCTCTGAAGCGCAAGCTCATTGTTATTTCTTACATGCCATTTCTCATTTACAAAATGCATCTTAAGCCATTGTCCTTCTGATTATAACTTTTACACTTTTATCTCATATGTAGACAGATTTTTTCTTTCAGATCTTTCATGTAAAGGTTCCTGTGAACTGAGGGTATCTTTGCTAACCTCTAACCCACAGTCAACTTCTGGTGAAGTTATAAAACTTTAGAAATAGAAGGTTTTAATGGGAACCCTGACTCAGTTTACTTCAGTGAGAGGAACAGGGCTCTGCTATCAGTAGAATATGACTCAGGCACCAACAGTAAATCTGATCTTTGAGATTGTCCTCTAAGAGTAA